CACATATAGTTTATTCTATGTCGATTCTCTTATATGTATGCCGAGGTAGCCACTTGGTAAAACAAATCTCTTGACAGTGCGGTCTTGGAATGACTTAATGGCATGTACAATGGGATCTGCAGATCAAATGCTACGAATGTTAGAGTCGAATGTCGTAAGCTATGGCTATGTGATTCATTTTGTCCCAAACTGAAGAATGTATTCATTCAAATCCTTCCTTTCGGAGTTGTCAGGTTCGGGGAGATTTCTTCTCAAAGTAAAATGAAATAGATTACAAGTAAGGATTTAAAGACAACTTTGTAATACATGGAACAAAGGACATTGGGAATCATGAATATTGTGGCGGGTATTTTATGAAATTGTGTGCTCAGTCTTCACTATAAAAAATATCCCCCAAAATATTCATGACACCTGACGTATATAATATATTACAAAGTTGTCTTTCAATCCTTATTTGTAATCTGTCACATTTTACTTTTTTTGTTCAGGATATATAGACACGTGAACGTTTATCAATGGTGTTGGTTGATTGATCTCGTGACGCCATATGATCACCCAGGGTAGTTATAAGTATATAATGAATAATTTGTTTGTCATAGTGACATAGATATAACTGAAGTGTTCACATACAATTATATTTGATGATAGAAACATACGGCATATTTTGATTATATTCCTGTCATTATCCAATGAACAAAACTGGTTTGATAGTTTGTAATGTGTCGGGCATGGGTGGACTGAGGACGTTGAGCGGCGGATGTCAACAAGAGGGGTTGTAAGTTTCCCATGTTAGAGTGAGTGAGTGAGTTGGGTTTAACGCCGCTTTTAACATTATTCAAGTTATACCACAGCGTGTCAGCTTAATGTGGGAGGAAAGCCCGAAGTGATTTAGGTCTCACACGTTTACCACTTCGGTGAAACCCACGAGCACGGGTATGGTGCTGACAAACCTAGAAACATAATCGGGGCGAACTGGAATTCGAACCCACAATCATAGGTTTCTGACGTGCCCAAGGGACGCAACTCTGCACAGCGAATCGTGGGGCCTCAGACGACTGGGACACATGTGCCCCCTTGACCAATTGACATAGATATGGATATTGATAAGGAACCCATATGTTCAAATACACCTATATTTGATGAAAAACACCTACACTGAATATTTGGATTTGATTCTTGTCATTACCCAATGCTTAGAAGAACTTTCTGCTGAGCTTATTTCATTTAAATGCTTTGTGGTGGATGTGTTTAGAATTGTAATATATCCAATAGGTTCAAGAATGGCAATGTAAACTGGTATAGATGTAGAGTCTTTAACTTACCACAACAGTCGCCCCTGTTGGTGAGGGTGAGGCCAGACACGTAGCGGCGGGCACCCAGATCCACGAACCAGAAGGGGTTGGGATCTGTCGCCACATCAGCGCTAGAGAAACATGAGCCGCCAAAGAAGTCCGAGTTGAAGTTGCCGTCGACGGCGAGGTTTGAGTTGGCGGTGATGGGGGGCACACCGTTGACGAAGACACTACTGGAGCCGGTGGGGCGATTCAGGGCGATGTTGTAGCCTGGGTATGCAAGAGAAGAATTAGTATTGAAACGCACTGTTTTAAAGCCAAACTTGCATATTTGGATTGGAGAATGAATGATATTTCACCGTGTTGTATGTACGACATCTCAATTTCAACAATTCTAAGCTTTCTGGGCACTTAGTTTAAGACATGATGCATATGATGTATATATACTTACCGAAATTATTGGCTTTCGCCACTGCGAAGAGAGCCGCTAAGCACACGATGAAGACCATGGTGGAAGATTGGATCGAATGATGACCAGTGATTGCGAATCACAGTTTATATACGTAGGAGCCGACCTCACAACGTAATAATGGCGTAATACACTTAGTGTCATTATCATTAGTGAAATAAGGAAGTGCTCATGATGACAGGGTCCAGGGAAGGGTGCATACCCAACAGAAGACGTACGGTTTATGAAGATATTCGTCGAAGGCCAGGGATGCTTCTTGCAGTCACTGTTGCTGGCTGGAATCGATTTCGTAGGTGTGTTGTTCGAATCCAGTAGTGTTGTCGATTACTGGTTCAGCGTGGCCTGCCACTCCGAGGATGGTCTCTGACTGCATTCGTCTGTTGCCAACGTTGCCATAAACACCAAATGGTGTTTCTGTGGACGTTAAATTGCCTTGCAACATCACATTGACTCGATCCTGTTTCAAGCATACCAATAGCTCGCAGATGCTCATTTTCGGACAGACGTGGCATTTCGTAATGTTGAATAATTGCGTAATTTTGTTGTTTTTCTAAGTGTTTTTTGTCAGCGCGATGCTTAACAATGCATATGGAATCCAGTAAACGCATACCCATTCTTGGGTAGTGAAATGCATGGGGCTTGCATAAAAGTCAACTTTTGCATGGAATGTACATGTATGCTTTTCTGTAGCAGTTGCGTTTTTGTGACTTGATTCCATACATGTACTACAATATTGAAAACCAAACTGTACTTGTTTAAAAAATACACTAACCTATTGGTGTCACAGGAACTTTTGTTGTTGAGTATATAAACTCTCTGTCTCTTTGCGACACAAATTTACATAGTTTCTTCAGAAATAATTCACAATTTCCACATAGTAGCATTTGACACTTATTCAGGGTTGGATATTGACAGAACATTTTCGGTGTGTAATATTCTAAGTCAAATGATCATGTTACGATGTTTCTTGTCTTAGATTACAGATAGATATTTTTTTATAGTTAAACCAGTCTATACAGTCTGTACCTGGAACTATTGTTTAAGATGTTATTCCAGGACTGCAAATCCATATTTATCCGTGCATGTTTAAATACCTTAAGAAAAGCTACTTTATCACTAACTGATTGGGATAAACACACAAATCCAAATCCGTTTGAAAATAACAAAGATCGAACATATTTGCCACATAATTATTTTATCCAGAATTATATCATGAAAGCATATTGTTAGCTTTTCTCAGTATCCTACCATCATACATCTCTATCAGTTTCAGTTAAATAACACCTCTACACAGAGCGTTAAGATACAAAGGGCAACGACCACATTCACCATACGCAATAACATTTATTGCCTGGAGTCAAACATTAAGAAATTTATCCTGACACACATATTACATATTCTATTGTGTCACCATTTACAGCTGCATTATTTGTATTTGTGTTAACTGACAATATTATTCTTACGAACTTAATGCGTACACTTTCCACTGATAGGACTTCATAACCCCATAAACCTGATCCATAAAAAAGGACTGGCACAATCATTCTGGCAAACAAAAACAGAGATTTTATTATAGCGATTGTCATAATTTTATATAGTATATTTGAGCAGAATAGTCATGGCTTTTCAGCTTGTTGTGCTTAAGTATTTCTAGTGAAACCCCATGATAACTTTGAATAAGAAAAACAAATTCTTGTATGTTTATACAATTTCAGGTTTTTAACCTTTGAATCACTATTTTTAGTTTGTTTGACTACTCCGCGAAACACAGTAACCTGTATCTTGTCTAAATATACATGTATATTCATAATATATTCGTCCCAAAAGCCTGCTTCACAGTCTGTTCCTGTAATATAACAACAGTTTAACTAGTATTCACAATATCATCAGCAAACATCTATGTGCTGTATTAGTTTAACAAGATCATTTAGAAACAAAGTAAATAGTGTGTGCCTGATCATACAACCTTGCCTAGGACCCACCTACCATCAAAGAACTCGGATTATGTTAATATATCTACCAACTGGTACACATGATTTTAGTTGTCTGTACACGGATAAAATCACCCCAAAACACTTGCTATTAATGCTCTAATAGTAGAAGTACATGTACATATTTTAACAGGTGATGTTGTGCACTGTCAAAAGCCTTAGAATCAATGAACAAAATTAATACTTTTTAACTAAGTACCAAACATAATCTGTGGCTCTATAACCTTTCTATATCAAGCCTCTTCTTCATATAAACTGTTCTCTTCGTCAAACCAATGACTGATTCTGTTGTTTTGTTGTTCCGTTGTAGACTAACATGGCTGCAAATCATTTGGCGCACTATGACTTCTTCCCTTTAATGACTATTATTTTATATGTTCTTCTTGTGCTGTAGAGCTGGGAATCACCAGGAATATTGTTCATAAGAAACATTTATTCAAATACACACTGCAGTAGTTTGTTATGAATCCATATTTTGTATGATATTCAACTAGGAGTGGCTGAAATGTTCTACAAACAATGTATAAAACGTTTTACGCCGCTTTTAGCAATTTTCCAGCAATATCATGGCGGGGGACACCAGAAATGGGCTTCACACATTGTACCCATGTCGGGAATCGAACCCGGGTCTTCGGCGTGACGAGCGAACGCTTTAACCACAAGGCTACCCGACAGCCCCTACCTGAAGGTTGGGGGTAACTTAATTGAATTTGCAATAGATAAATGTAAATGTAACATGGATCTCTTTTGAATACACAAAATCAAAATCAGATACATGTATGTGTTTCGTTTGAATGACACCGGATTTTTGTTTATCATTTAATGGATAGTGTGTTTTCAGTTACGCCAAATGGAATCTATGTTTCGGAGAATAATCAAGACTGGTTATTCTCTTCCATGGAAGTTTTATGTGTATCGATGCAATAAACCAATATCGATTAACTTTGTGTCATATAATTCAATAAATATACAAATGAAGTCATTCAGCAGGAATTACTTTAAGCTCCAGTCATCGATTTAATATCTGCTTACTCATTAAATTATTGACCGACGTTCCCAATTAGTGTAGATATTTGTTTTCTGATGTGTGGGTGATAATGTAGACAAACATTGCTGCAAATCGATTTGTGCTATCTGGTAAATGAGACGAGGTACTCAAACATTTCATTTGTAAGAAGTTTCTTCATTGACAAGCAAATTAAGAATGCCATTATGTAATAGAGATTTTATTACCCTCGTTTGTTTCCGTATCATAAATATTTATAGACTCGCTTAATACAATTTGTCTTCCTAGTGTATGATATTTATTCTACGGAAACGCACGCTGGGTCTCTATATCAATTTATCTACACACGAGAAAACGCTTTCAGTATTCAACCTTCACATTTATTTTGACACATAGCAGAAACTCCACAACAATCCATGGCTTGTTTCGATGAAAAGTGCTTTAAGCGCTCACGAAATTGACTTCAGACCTTCGTCGTTGGTGAAGTTTATTATGTGCTTCTTCGTCAGTTTCGTCAGATTAATTCACAGCCCCTTCCATGCCAACCATGTTAACGTTGGATCCAGAACTCGAAATAATTCCGTTGGCAGCCAGAGCCTGAGCAACGTCGTTGTCAACAGATTTGTTGGTGACCTCGCTGTGGGATGCGAACCTTCCTGTTACTTGAACTTCACAGAGGGTCAAGAGATCATTGCTGTCAACCATACTAGTCTTCTGGATCTTGATGTAGCGGGCTACAGTAGGCGCAAAGCAGTTGACGGTGAAGTTAGCCCCTGCAGCGACGTTGCCAGTGATGGTGCCGCAAAGTTTAGGGAACTCCAGGTACCTGTAGGGGTCTTTCAGAAGAGTTTCGATGTTGATGTTGCGTAGGCGTTCAGCTGGAATTGTAAAGAAAGTACTCATTAAGTACGTGAAGACATATATATTACAGTGTACTCCTCAAATACATTAACATATATGATAATGGTCACGTTTCACGAGAGTTGCAAACGTCTGAAGCCTGCATCACTTGGGGCTTCACCACAATCTTTATCTGACGGGGCGGTCGGGTAGCCTAGTGGTTAAAGCGTTAGCTCGTCACGCTGAAGACCCGGGTTCAATTCCCGACATGGGTACAATGTGTGAAGCCCATTTCTGGTGTCCCCCGCCATGATATTGCTGGAATATTGCTAAAAGCGGCGTAAAACCATACTCACTCACTCACTCACTTTATCTGACACGCCGTGATATGACTGAATACTGTTCAATACAGCGTTAAGCCCAACTCAAACACACACATATTGCTGAACCTAAATAAGCATTTTTAACTAACTATGATGTGGAGATATGATATTGGTGGAGAAATTTATCTTAAGGAACACAAGAACACAACGTGAAAATGCTCACCACAACAGTCGCCCCTGTTGGTGACGGTGACGGAGCTGATGTAGAAGTAGGCGCCGAGGTCGATGTATAAGGTGGGATTTGTGTCGCCAATGGCGCTGGAGTAACAGCTTCTTCCGGTGACGAACTGGCTGTCAAAGTTGCCGTCCACAGCCAGGCCAGGGGAGGCAACCAGGTTGGCGGCAGCGAAAGTAAACTGCGAGGTAGCGCGCGCTGGGCGATTCAGGGCGACGTTGGTGGAGGGAAATGTATTGAATTTATCTGAAAGTAAAGAAAAAGTGTTTATAATAATTATGAATAACAAGCTTAATGAAAAGTATACCTGGCTGCAGATGAAGGACTGACTGATTTCAATGTTTAATACGACTGAACAAGGTTACCACGTTAGGAGTCCATATCTATATGTTTATATAATGCAAATGTAGCTCTCAGACCCAAACCAACAATAATAATTAAATAACATTTTAAGGACTGCCCTTCCCTTACTGCATGAGTAATGTACATAACTGAATACCGTTTTCTAATAAATTATAGGACTCGTACACATAGTATGGTAGTACCGTCGCTAAATGTAAATGTAAATGGTTTCATATAGGGCAATTCATACATACTATTGAAGTTGCCCCCGGACACAACGACCTCGCAGATGGTGAGAGGGGCGGTGGCGGCGGGTTTCCTGATACGGACGTAGCGTCCAGTCACCATCGGAGAGCAGGAGAGTGAAACAGTCTGACCGAGGGCCACTCCACCAATGACCATGGAGCAGAACTCGGGAGTCTCGGAACTGGTGGTCGGATTGAATTCAAAGACTTCGATTGTCAGACCACTCAGACGATCAGCTGTAAAAGACGATAGAAGATGTCATTCCTCAAATCACAATAACACAACAGCAGGGTTTCTTTGATTTACACATATAGTTTATTCTATGTCGATTCTCTTATATGTATGCCGAGGTAGCCACTTGGTAAAACAAATCTCTTGACAGTGCGGTCTTGGAATGACTTAATGGCATGTACAATGGGATCTGCAGATCAAATGCTACGAATGTTAGAGTCGAATGTCGTAAGCTATGGCTATGTGATTCATTTTGTCCCAAACTGAAGAATGTATTCATTCAAATCCTTCCTTTCGGAGTTGTCAGGTTCGGGGAGATTTCTTCTCAAAGTAAAATGAAATAGATTACAAGTAAGGATTTAAAGACAACTTTGTAATACATGGAACAAAGGACATTGGGAATCATGAATATTGTGGCGGGTATTTTATGAAATTGTGTGCTCAGTCTTCACTATAAAAAATATCCCCCAAAATATTCATGACACCTGACGTATATAATATATTACAAAGTTGATTTTCAATCCTTATTTGTAATCTGTCACATTTTACTTTTTTTGTTCAGGATATATAGACACGTGAACGTTTATCAATGGTGTTGGTTGATTGATCTCGTGACGCCATATGATCACCCAGGGTAGTTATAAGTATATAATGAATAATATGTTTGTCATAGTGACATAGATATAACTGAAGTGTTCACATACAATTATATTTGATGATAGAAACATACGGCATATTTTGATTATATTCCTGTCATTATCCAATGAACAAAACTGGTTTGATAGTGTGTAATGTGTCGGGCATGGGTGGACTGAGGACGTTGAGCGGCGGATGTCAACAAGAGGGGTTGTAAGTTTCCCATGTTAGAGTGAGTGAGTGAGTTGGGTTTAACGCCGCTTTTAACATTATTCAAATTATATCACAGCGTGTCAGCTTAATGTGGGAGGAAAGCCCGAAGTGATGTAGGTCTCAGACGTTTACCACTTCGGTGAAACCCACGAGCACGGGTATGGTGCTGACAAACCTAGAAACATAATCGGGGCGAACCGGAATTCGAACCCACAATCATAGGTTTCTGACGTACCCAAGGGACGCAACTCTGCACAGCGAATCGTGGGGCCTCAGACGACTGGGACACATGTGCCCCCTTGACAAATGGACATAGATATGGATATTGATAAGGAACCCATATGTTCAAATACACCTATATTTGATGAAAAACACCTACACTGAATATTTGGATTTGATTCTTGTCATTACCCAATGCTTAGAAGAACTTTCTGCTGAGCTTATTTCATTTAAATGCTTTGTGGTGGATGTGTTTAGAATTGTAATATATCCAATAGGTTCAAGAATGGCAATGTAAACTGGTATAGATGTCGAGTCTTTAACTTACCACAACAGTCGCCCCTGTTGGTGAGGGTGAGGCCGGACACGTAGCGGCGGGCACCCAGATCCACGAACCAGAAGGGGTTGGGATCTGTCGCCACATCAGCGCTAGAAAAACATGAGCCGCCAAAGAAGTCCGAGTTGAAGTTGCCGTCGACGGCGAGGTTTGAGTTGGCGGTGATGGGGGGCACACCGTTGACGAAGACACTACTGGAGCCGGTGGGGCGATTCAGGGCGATGTTGTAGCCTGGGTATGCAAAAGAAGAATTAGTGTTGAAACGCACTGTTTTGAAGCCAAACTTGCATGTTTGGATTGGAGAATGATTGATATTTCAGCGTGTTTGTATGTACGACATCTGAATTTCAGCAATTCTAAGCTTTTTAGGTACTTAGTTTAAGACATGATGCATATGATGTATATATACTTACCGAAATTATTGGCTTTCGCCACTGCGAAGAGAGCCGCCAAGCACACGATGAAGACCATGGTGGAAGATTGGATCGAATAATGATGACCAGTGATTGCAGATCACAGTTTATATACGTAGGAGCCGACCTCACAACGTAATAATGGCGTAATACACTTAGTGTCATTATCATTAGTGAAATAAGGAAGTGCTCATGATGACAGGGTCCAGGGAAGGGTGCACCCTAACAGATAGGTCTAGGGAAGGGCACGTGTGATCAGTATCATGACATGCGGATCTGGGTAAGGGCGCATTGCTTCCTTGCTAGGCATTTAGAATTTTTGGGTACTAAGTAAGGATATCACGATATGTTGATGAACAACTTCTTTGTTACAATTAGGGGCGGCGTTTCGGTGTAGGTTCTAACACCGTTATCAACCAAGCACTTGCCTGATTACGGTGTAAGAGCTTACACCAAAACGTCATAATTGTAAAGAAGTTGTATCCATATATCTTATCCTTACTTAAGGGCGCATTGATTGGAGAAAACAAGTGCATATAAAAAAGCCTTCTCGAGGGAAGTTTGCAGGTGATATATGTCGTGACAGACAGATCATTATAAGTTACTTCAGCCGTTAAAGCTTTCTACCTGGTGGTAATATGGTATGTAGAGTGAGTGAGTGAGTTAATGCTTTATGTCACATCGGCAATATTTCAGCCATATCGTGACGATGTTTGTAGAAGATATCGGTAATGATATAGGTGCAATATTCTACATATGATACGTGTAAGTGTCATGCTGAAGCCGGAGATCCTCCACGCTGATACTGATATTACTATACAGTTACAGCATTTTAGCTTAACCCTTATCAATCTCCCTATCTATTCGCCCACCAATACATCCATCAAACATCAATCCACTCATCTATCCAAGCATCGAACATGCGTCCACCAATTCATAGGAACAGGGGAGCACATTGTGACATACACACATGCAGTATGCTCATAGAAGGGTACAGGGGGGAGTATTGTAACATTGTCGATTCAAGGGAAGGGTACAGGAGAGCGTATTGTGCCCTTGTAAATTCAAGGGAAACAGACAGGGGACAGTATTGTGACATTGTAGATTCAAGGGAAGGATACAGGGGAGCGTATTATAACCTTGTAAATTCAAGGGAAGGATACACGGGAATGTATTGTGACAATGTCGATTCAATGAAAGGGTACAGGAGAGCGTATTTGTGATTGTAGATTCAAGGGAAGGATACAGGGGAGCGTATTGTGACCTTGTAGATTCAGGGTAAGGGAACAGGGGAGCGTATTGTGTCAATGTAGATTCAAGGAAAGAGAACAGGAGAGCTTATTGTGACCTTGTAAATTCAAGGGAAACAGACAGGGGAGCGTATTGTGTGATTGTAGATTCAATGAAAGGGTACAGGGGAGCGTATTGTGACATTGTAGATTCAAGGGAAGGATACAGGGGAGCGTATTATAACCTTGTTATTTCAAAGGAAGGATACACAGGGATGTATTGTGACAATGTCGATTCAATGAAAGGGTACAGGAGAGCGTATTGTGTGATTGTAGATTCAAGGGAAGGATACAGGGGAGCGTATTGTGACCTTGTAGATTCAGGGGAAGGGTACAGGGGAGCGTATTGTGACATTGTAGATTCAATGAAAGGGTACAGGGGAGCGTATTGTGTGATTGTAGATTCAAGGGAAGGACTCAGAGGAGCGTATTGTGACATTGTAGGTTCAAGGGAAGGATACAGGGGAGCGTATTATAACCTTGTAAATTCAAGGGAAGGATACACGGTAATGTATTGTGACATTGTAGATTCAATGAAAGGGTTCAGGAGAGCGTATTGTGTGATTGTAGATTCAAGGGAAGGATACAGAGGAGCGTATTGTGACCTTGTAGATTCAGGGTAAGGGAACAGGGGAGCGTATTGTGTCAATGTAGATTCAAGGGAAGAGAACAGGAGAGCTTATTGTGACCTTGTAAATTCAAGGGAAACAGACAGGGGAGCGTATTGTGTGATTGTAGATTCAATGAAAGGGAACAGGGGAGCGTATTGTGACATTGTAGATTCAAGGGAAGGATACAGGGGAGCGTATTATAACCTTGTTATTTCAAGGGAAGGATACACAGGGATGTATTGTGACAATGTAGATTCAATGAAAGGGTACAGGAGAGCGTATTGTGTGATTGTAGATTCAAGGGAAGGATACAGGGGAGCGTATTGTGACCTTGTAGATTCAGGGGAAGGGTACAGGGGAGCGTATTGTGACATTGTAGATTCAAGGAAAGGGTACAGGGAAGCGTATTGTGTGATTGTAGATTCAAGGGAAGGACCCAGAGGAGCGTATTGTGACATTGTAAGTTCAAGGGAAGGATACAGGGGAGCGTATTATAACCTTGTAAATTCAAGGGAAGGATACACGGTAATGTATTGTGACATTGTAGATTCAATGAAAGGGTTCAGGAGAGCGTATTGTGTGATTGTAGATTCAAGGGAAGGATACAGAGGAGCGTATTGTGACCTTGTAGATTCAGGGGAAGGGTACAGGGGAGCGTATTGTGTCAATGTAGATTCAAGGGAAGAGAACAGGAGAGCTTATTGTGACCTTGTAAATTCAAGGGAAACAGACAGGGGAGCGTATTGTGTGATTGTAGATTCAATGAAAGGGTACAGGGGAGCGTATTGTGACATTGTAGATTCAAGGGAAGGATACAGGGGAGCGTATTATAACCTTGCTATTTCAAGGGAAGGATACACAGGGATGTATTGTGACAATGTCGATTCAATGAAAGGGTACAGGAGAGCGTATTGTGTGATTGTAGATTCAAGGGAAGGATACAGGGGAGCGTATTGTGACCTTGTAGATTCAGGGGAAGGGTACAGGGGAGCGTATTGTGACATTGTAGATTCAATGAAAGGGTACAGGGGAGCGTATTGTGTGATTGTAGATTCAAGGGAAGGACCCAGAGGAGCGTATTGTGACATTGTAAGTTCAAGGGAAGGATACAGGGGAGCGTATTATAACCTTGTAAATTCAAGGAAAGGATACACGGTAATGTATTGTGACATTGTAGATTCAATGAAAGGGTTCAGGAGAGCGTATTGTGTGATTGTAGATTCAAGGGAAGGATACAGAGGAGCGTATTGTGACCTTGTAGATTCAGGGGAAGGGTACAGGGGAGGGTATTGTGACATCGTAGATTCAATGTAAGGGTACAGGGAAGCGTATTGTGTGATTGTAGATTTAAGGGTGGGGTACAGGGCAGCGTATTGTAACAAATTTGTTTCCAGACAATGGGGCAAGACGATTTCAGATTTCAAGAATAAACCGATTATAGAATAGGTATTGCAGGTGGAACTGGTATGGTTGGAAAGACGAAAACCAGATAACTCATCACCAATTTACATTCAATAGTTAACATGGCAAATGTGATTAATTACTGTTTTTCATTGGCGCATACTTATTGCAGATGTGTTAGTCTTCCATATACAGCTGATCGAATTTCGAGACCTTGATTTCCATCGTAGACAAAAACGCATGTGGACATTTCAGTGTATACTCACCGGAGTTGGTGCGTCATAACTTTTCATTTAACTGTTATCATATCATGTTTGAATTGCAGCTATATGCAGATACATTACATGAGAGAGACAATATCATTGCATCTGTGTGTGTGTATTGTATAGTTTGTTCTTTTAACTAACATACATGGTTATGAAAAGCACAAAATAGTATGGCTGTCAGGCAACATGTCAAAACAGATAAAAGAAATTGGACATTCGATGGTGATGTTTTTGGGACGAGTATCAAACCTCAGACTGTGTTATTAACCTGAAGTTTGCAGTGTTTCCGCGACCTTTTTCATCCAGGTACGTTTTAATAAAGTTTGTGATTTTTGGGTCGAATCTAATTTTCTGTCCACAACTCATCCAATTTTCATCACGATACGACCAACGGTATCGTGTGGTTAGGCTCTCTGACTTTGTTGATGCATGTCATCGTATCTCATTTGCGTAGATCTATGTTGTTGTTTTCTGGTCCAGACTCGATTATTTACAGATAGCTGGAATATTGCTGAGTGCGGCGTTAAACAACACAAACAAACATTCATGAGGGGACAGGAGAAGAAAGAAACGAGTTCATTACGTGGCATACGTTTTGTCAGATCGAGGGATGAACAGTGCAGAGGGGGTGTATTCCCATGTAAGAGGGTGCAAGAGAAAAGGTACAGACAATTCAGTGATACTGAATTGTCAGTAACTTGTGATACTGCTAGAAATGATATTAATGTTTGTTTGTTTGTTTGTTTGTTTGTTTGTTTGTTTAACGCCGCACTCAGCAATAGTCCAGCTATACCACGGCAGTCTGTAAATAATCGAGTCTGGACCAGACAAAAAATGCAAAATGCTCTTTTCAAGAAAAGTCCCTCTTCTCAGCAAAAAATATCATCATTTAGTTTTGGTCACATGTTTACAATTTGGGTAATAATCGACAGTCAGGTGACTGCGAGCGGTTATATTTTGCAGTGACCTTGGTCAATAGCGCTTTAAATACTACATCTGCACGTACGTTTATTTCAGTTCGTGCTTGTAATGTACGTGCACTGCACACGCTGCTAAAAAAGTCGCTCATGGTCACCATACTGCCGATCCTCAGTCAGATTGTAACCACGTGAGCAAAACTCAATGATGATTTTTATCGCTAGCAAAATGAATATTTATTGAAAAGCGCACTTTGTAATATCCGTCATTTCCAATCGTTTGGATTGTCACGTCAAATTAAAATCAGATCTTTCATTCCGATACGACACTTCTCTTATATGGGTGTCCTCAGATCTTCACGCGTGTTGTATCGGAGAAGAAACAAATTGATTTGATTGATGATGAGATTGACCATAATATTATTCAATGTTTCATGTTTACCTCTTTACAACACTATCCTACAATATCACGGGGTGGGGAAGCATCCGACATTGGCTAACTGTATCCAACTGTGAACTTCGGTGTGGTGGCGAGTGAGTGCTTTGACCCCCCAGGCTACGCCACCGCTCGACTACATGAGGAAAACGATATTTCACTTTTACTACGACCACGAATATCCCGAATCACCCCGAATCGGAAACTTTCGAAATTCGTGATGATTTGACCAATAATGCAAACTTTCGTGGTTAATTGGGATGAAAAATATGAAGAACGCCAGGAATGGCTTAAGAAACATGTACGAATTACAAGATTCATGTACGGATCATACACGAATTGTAAGGATTACTTACGACTAAGTTATGAATATGCCGAAAGTTGTTCTGACTAAATTCTTACATGATTCGTAGTTGACTCGAGACATTCGTGGCTGTTTCGGGATGTTTTCGGGTTGAGGACAAGAAATTGTGGGAGCCACGAATCGCTAAGAATAGCCAAGAATGCAAAAGAATCCATTACGAAGCTGTTACGGAACATAAGATTGCTGAATTAATTACGAATGGATTACGATACAGCCACGAAATTGCAATTCCAGGAACCTTCCACGATCATACCAACAGACGTTAAAAGATGGTACTTTTTGTACCAGCATATCTGGCGCTCGGCATTGGGGGCTAAAACAAGGACTGGTCCGCTCGGAGTCAGTATACTGTGTCTGAGTGGGGTATTCATGTTAAACTGCAGCGTGGTATCTCAGTGAGCTGGCACTATAAATAGGCATCAGTCCGGACTAGTACAAGCAGCCACACACATACACACACACGCGTGCTTGCACGTCGCTATGTAAGTGCAATAATCTTGGACGCCACGTTAAACCCACTTTCACCTCACCTACAAACACATGTATATTGTAGAAAAGGAATACATGCAAAAGCATGTTATAATTTATGGTCAAAGCGAACACGTTTGCATCAGAAGTCTCAGAAAATCTCTGAAGACAAATAGCTTTATGTCATCTGCAATGGTACAGTGACGGTGTATTTGTCCAAATGTGTGCAAGTGGGCGTGGCTGGAAGGGGAGCCAATGAGATTGATTACAGTATTCATGTTGTAATATATAATTTAGGGTCAAGCAATCCTTTTTACATTGTCACATCGTCAGCATATCAATCAGTAAATGTCCTATCGTGTTCCTGAATTGCTAGGCCCATCATATCAGGCTTGTGTTGAGGCTAGTAGCGTCACATGGTAGGCGTTCTGTGCGTCGTCGGGCAACAAACGTTTACTTTTATGCACATTTGTGAGTGGCAGAATCCGTTGGGCAGGATTCGCGAACACCAGGTGCTATCACTGATCCATTCATATAAAGTTTACTGCCATTTTGCCTTTTACGATGGATGATCGAGGTTTGTAGCTCGAGTATAACTTACTTTTTTCTGCAAATGGTGTGAGTGGAGGGTGATATCGATAGGGCAGGACATCCTTTCCCGTTTCTCGAAGACCTGGTGTCATCACTGTTTTTGAGTGCTCCATTTATATAATTTTTATCTTATTTCTTTGTTGATTTATCTTTCACGCCCAATGGGTTTTTGTGGATAATCGAGACTGGTTCTTATCTCGCATTGACGTTTTCAAATTTACACTCGTACGCTTCAGTGACTTACATAAATGAAAGAATCATACAGCAATTGCAAACAGGAATCAAAATACCAACAGGTGGCAGGCACTCATTAACCCCCAAACCAGTGATTGATATCATGACCCACACCTTCGGGGTACGATGGCAAACAATCAACCAAGTTACCGACAACCCGATTCATTATGTCCAGGTTGCAAGTTGGTTGGTTGGTTTGTTGTTTAACGCCGCACTCAGCAATATTCCAGCTTTATGACGGCGGTCTGTAAATAACCGAGTGTGGACTCGACAATCCAGTGATTGACATCATGAACATCGATCCACGCAATTGGGATCGATGACATGCGTCAACCACGTCAGCGAGCCTGACCACCCGATCCCGTTAGTCGCCTCTTTCGACGAGCATAGTCGCCTTTTACGGCAAGCATGGGTTGCTGAAGACCTATTCTACCCCGGATCTTCACGGTTTACCAGGCTGCAAGTGAACATATCTAGCCCGGGATTCTCACGGGGTGATGAAAAAAAATCACGAAGATGGCTGTTATCAATATCGGGGTTCTTTAATAATTTTGTATAGGAGAACAAACAAACCTTCACATATATTTATGCACATGGCTGCAACAACAATAAATAATGGTCATTTTAATGGACAGTTCTTTTATCAAATTTCTCAATTCGGCGATTATACCTAAGTAGCATATCTGACTTGCTTCCTTAGTGTCCCTTGTGTTTTATCAGATTAATTCAGACTTTACCTTTGTCATAACAAAACAATAATTAACAAATATAGATTGTACAAAGTGAGTGAGTGAGTGATTTTCTCCGGCAATATTTCAGCCATGTTGTGATTACACTTTTACACAGAACGGAGAGGGTAACATACGGTGAAGATTTTGACTGAGTCTTAGTTTTTGAGTCTTCCTAGTATTATTTAATGGGTAGGGCATGATGCTTTCGCTGAGTTGGTTTCAGAAACTAAACATTACAACTGACTTTCACCGTTAACTTGAGATTAATTAACAGCCCGATTCCCGCCACTCAAGTTATCATTGGTTTCAACACTGGAAATAATTCCGTTGGCAGCCAGAGCCTGAGAAACGTCGTTGTCAACAGATTTGTTGGTGACCTCGCTGTGGGATGCGAACCTTCCGGTTACTTGAACTTCACAGAGGGTCAAGAGATCATTGCTGTCAACCATACTGGTCTTCTGGATCTTGATGTAGCGGGCTGCAGTGGGCGCAAAGCAGTTGACGGTGAAGTTAGCTCCTGCAGCGACGTTGCCAGTGATGGTGCCGCAAAGTTTAGGGAACTCCAGGTACCTGTAGGGGTCTTTCAGAAGAGTTTCGATGTTGATGTTGCGCAGGCGTTCAGCTGGAATTGTAAAGAAAATGCTCATTTCGTATCAGAAGACATGTATATTATTACTGTGTACTCCTCAAATATATTAACATGTATCATAATGGTCACGTTTCACGAGAGTTGCAAACGTCTGAGGCCTGCATCACTTCGGGCTTCACTATAATCTTTAGCTGACACGCCGTGATATGACTGAACACTGCTCAATACAGCGTTAAGCCCAACTCAAACACACACATATTGCTGAACCTAAATAAGCATTCTTTACTAACTTTGATGTGTATTTCCAGCGTGAAGAAATGTATCTTAAGGAACACAAGAACACAACGTGAAAATGCTCACCACAACAGTCGCCTCTGTTGGTGACGGTGACGGAGCTGATGTAATAGTAGGCGCCGAGGTCGATGTATAAGGTTGGGTTTGTGTCGCCAATGGCGCTGGAGTAACAGCTTCTTCCGGTGACGAACTGGCTGTCAAAGTTGCCGTCCACAGCCAGGCCAGGGGAGGCAACCAGGTTGGCGGCATCAAAAGTAAACTGAGAGGTAGCACGCGCTGGGCGATTCAGGGCGACGTTGGTGGAGGGAAATTTATTAAATTTATCTGAAATATAAAAAAAAGAGTTGATATTAATAACGGGCTTTGTGTAGAGCATGCCTGACTTCAAATGGATGTGAAGGACCAATTCGACTGATCAAGTTTTCCACGTTTTGAAATCACATCCATATGATAATATATGTACAAGAAAAAAATATTGTTAACAATTATATTTTTAAGATTACTCTTCCCTCTCTGTTTGAGTAATATACATTACTGATTACCGTGTAAATACATTTTAGGACTCGCAAACATACTATGGTAGTACTATCGCTGAATTTAAATGTAAACGGTTTCATATAGGACAAAGGATACATACTATTGAAGTTGCCCCCGGAAACAACGACTTCGCAGATGGTGAGAGGGGCGGTGGCGGAGGGTTTCCTGATACGGACGTAGCGTCCAGTCACCATCGGAGAGCAGGAGAGTGAAACAGTCTGACCAAGGGCCACTCCACCAATGACCATGGAGCAGAACTCGGGAGTCTCGGTACTGGTTGTGGGATTGAACTCAAAGACTTCGATCATCAGACCACTCAGACGATCAGCTGCAACACAGACACTGCCCTTCTTCAAATTTTAATAGCACAACAGCATGTTGCACATATAGTTTATTAAATGTCGATTCTAGTCTCTAGATGCTAGTGTGGTCAAGGAGCGCATTCTTCTCAAAGTAAAATGTCTCACGTTAAAAATAAGGACTGAAAGACAACTTTGCAATATATTGACCATAATGCGTTAGCGTGCTCATTCTTCACAACAAAAATATCCAAGAGGGTATGCATCATCCCAAAGTGTTTTTGTGCAGGATATTTGACAAGTGATTGTCTATCGATTGTTCATTGTTCTGGTGAGGCAAAATGATGTCATCAAGTGGGTTTGTAAGTATATATGTTTGACAATTAAGGGGAGTGAGTCAGTTGGGTTTAACGCCGCTTTTAACATTATTCAAGTTATATTACAGCGTGTCAAGACGTTTACCACTTCGGTGAAACCCACGAGCACGGGTATGGTGCTGACAAACCTAGAAACATAATCGGGCGACCCGGAATTCGAACCCACAATCATAGGTTTCTGACGTGCCCAAGGGAGGCAACGCTGCACAGCGAATCGTGGCGCCTCAGACGACTGGGACACCTGTGCCCCCTTGACAAATGGACATAGATATGGATGTGGATAAGGAACTCATGTGTTCAAATACAGCTATTGTTGATGAAAGACACCTACACTAAATATTTGGAATTTGTTCTTGTCATTATCAAAATCTTATAAGAACATTTTGCTGAGCTTATTTCTATCAATGGGTGAGTTAGGAATTATTTGTGGCGGATGTGTTTAGAATTATAATATATCTAAAGGATTCCAGAATGGCAATGTAAACTGGTATAGATGTAGAGTCTTTAGCTTACCACAACAGTCGCCCCTGTTGGTGAGGGTGAGGCCGGACACGTAGCGGCGGGCACCCAGATCCACGAACCAGAAGGGGTTGGGATCTGTCGCCACATCAGCGCTAGAGAAACATGAGCCGCCAAAGAAGTCGGAGTTGAAGTTGCCGTCGACGGCGAGGTTTGAGTTGGCGGTGATAGGGGGCACACCGTTGACGAAGACACTGCTGGAGCCGGTGGGGCGATTCAGGGCGATGTTGTATCCTGGGTATGCAAAAGAAGAATAAGTGTTGAAACGCACTGTTTTACAATCGTAAATTTGCATAATTGGAATGGGAGTATAAATGGTTTAAAGATTTTTTAACGATACTTAAGCGTCTTTTGTATGTACGACACCCAAGGATTTCAGTGTGCCTTTGTGTATACGATATCTGAAGCCTAACAGTTCCAAGATCTGTTCCAACTTTGTAAACATATACTGCATATCATGAATATACTTACCAAAATTATTGGCTTTCGCCACAACCAGGAGAGCCGCTAAACAGACGATGAAGACCATGGTGGAAGATGGGATCGAATGATGATCAGTGGTTGCGGATCACGGCTTATATGCGTATCAGGCAATCATATGTTAAATGACGTCTTAGGCAATATGGCGTAATTGGGAGTTGTTAAGGATGAAGTAGGATTAAGGAAGTGCTCATTAGAACAGACCAACCCCATACATACCCCTTGGCTAATATAGCGTTACATGAAATGAGACTTAAAAGGAAGCATTAAACGGAACACGGCTACCTACCGATCAAACTCCTAAATATAAGAAGATTCATGTAAAGTTAATTGTTCACTTGGAAGATATTTCTGACGATGATTTCTGTTCGATGATTAGTAATTAGTACCAGTGACATGTTCTAATGAGAGGAAGCTTCACTGCAATATGTAGAGAATAACCTATGGGCTACGAGGAATCAAGAAGTATCTGTCCTGAGATAATTAAGTTGTAAGCCAAGAGCCTTTTGGTGGGTGGGGGACTTTAAGTGTTATTTCATGACAGTTTCTTTTTTATAAACTAATATTGAGAAATGACGACACTTTGTTGCTTGTGTGCTCGCCAATTATTCCATTGTTTTTATGTTTGCGAAAAGGCCCAGCCAACGCATGACCACTTGAAGTATTTCATTTTTCATGACGGTTTTTTGTGACCATATCCTCTACATAAACAAAGTCTACTTAACCATGTACTCTCCATAAACACAACTTACTTCACCATATACTCCACATAAAAGCAGCCTACTTCACCATAAACGCCACATAAACGCAGCCTACTTAACCATATATTCCACATTAACGCAGCCTACTTCACCATATTATTTCACATAAACGCAGCCTACTTAACTATATACTCTACACAAACTGAACTTACTTCACCATATACTCCACATAAAAGCAGCCTACTTCACCATATACTCCTAATAAACACAGCCCACTTAACCATATACTCTACACAAATACAACTGACTTCTCCATATACTCCTCACCAAAGCCGTTAACTTCACCATATGCTCCACATAAACGCATCCTACTTCACCATATACTCCAGATAAACGCAGCCTACTTAACCATATACTCTACACAAACACAACCTACTTCACCATATTATCCAACTGTTCCATTGACCCATGGCCCATAGCAACGTGACCGCACAAAACAAACTAAAGATATATATTTGCATATGCAAACAATATCATGATACAGGTGTCTAAATCACCATTTATTACATTGTGTGTTGGTACACGTGACCAAACAGATAGTGAACAGTGTATGTCGAGGTGTGGGAAACTACTTGGATGCCCTGAGAACAGTTGATGTACCCAGCACGTTAATTTTATCAATACAATAATTGGTTGTCTGATTGAAATACCCTGTATAAAACGTGTTTTACTTATTTATGATATGTTTTGCTTAAATCATGTGTGCTCTAAGATTCGGCTTAAATCTGTCCATACTTGTGCATTTCATTCCATTGTTTCTATTTTTTGCGAAATATCCCATAGCATCAAAACGTGATGTCAGCGCATTTTCGCTTGACGTTTTTCCAGTATGTTAACCGAGGAAGAAATCTGCCCATGTCAAACCATGCATCAGTACGATCAACTTTACTCCATCGCTAGCGAGTTGCATAGATGACATCTTCTAAATTCTCTAGGTATGTTTTTCCAGCGGCCAGTATCTACAGGTAAATGAAGGTTGAAAGTCCTAAATGTCATAATTGGATATGAAATGTATTTAGAAAAAAAAAAAAATATTTCAAAAGATAAGGACATCTTTTGACAATTTATAATAATTTCCTTTAGAACTTTATTAATATTGTCTCTAAAACTGTTGTATGAAATGAACTTTTTGGCCTCCACCGAAGAAACTAGCTATTGTTTGGATACAGAACTAGGATTATCAAAGTTAAACCACAGTTGTACAGACTGTTCTAAATGTGACGTAACCAGTCGAAATTATGAGAGAATGTATTAGTGCTGTCTAATTGTTTAAAGAACGATGACAACCTAAATTGGTAAGTAACCGTTCTTAATTATACTATTATGTAAACATTTTTAGATATTGCAATATGAACAAGGAATGCGCCTAATTCACCATAAACTTTTATTTAGATTGCCGAAGGCCAGCAGTTGGTTACAGCAAGTTTAAGTGAAGCTTTTCAATGTTATCTATTGTATCTTTACCTCAGATTCATATAGGGAATCGAACTGTCAACTGAGGCTACGATTTAATCACTTTGCTACTTTGCTATGACTGGAAGAGATTATCACATGAGTTTTGCTTAAAGGTGGTATGGAGGGTCCTTGGTTTCTTGACCGCCTCCGTGGTCTTGTGGTAGAGCGTCCGCCCGGAGAGCGGAAGGTCCAGGGTTCGATCCCGGGCCGCGTCATACAAAAAGACGTTAAAAGATTGTACTTGTTGTTACCCTGTCTGGCGCTCGGCATTAAGGGGCTTAAACAAGGACTGGTCGGCTCGGAGTCAGTATACTGTGTCTGAGTGGGGTATTCATGTTAAACTGCGGCATGGTATCTCAGTGAGCTAGCACTATAAATCGGCATCAGTCCGGACTAGTACAAGCAGCCACACACACACATACACGTGCATGCACGTCGCTATATAAGTGCAATAATCTTGGACGCGACGTTAAACCCAATTTCACCTCACCTCACCTCCTTGGTTTCTTAATTCTTGACTATTCCAGGCAACGCCAAATCCAAATTTAAACAGAATATTTCTTATTTGTGTTGACAATGTATTACAGCCAACAGCGTCCAAATATTTTAATATAATATAACTTTGTTTTGATAGCCTGTTATTTTCTAATAACCTGTAATATTCTGCACCAATACCTATTTGCCTTTGTCACACATACAAACTGCAAAGGCACTCTTCCACATTCCAATGGAACCATATTATTACATGTTGATTTCCCAACCTTGAAACAAGATTTACAAAATGTAATACGTACCATAGCTATAGTATTACAATATGTGGTTCGCATATTTCAGAACCATAACATAGAATAGGTGAAATTATTCAGTCAAATATCATAAATAGATCTGGACAACTGATAATATCAATATATACTGAAAATATTGCCTTATTTGCTTGGGATACACAACAGGTCTGAGCTTTGCTTCAGATTAACTTTGGTGTGAATGCAAGTCCCAGGTATTCATATAACGATACTGTTTCTATAGTTGTACCAGCTTAAAACCACTTTTCATATGACCTTAAGGGACCACCATTTTAAAAGTAATAATCTTAGTCTTATTCAAATTTACTTTCATGCCAATATGTTCACAAAAAACCTTCAAGTTCAGTTACACGCCGTGATATAACTGGAATACTGTCAAAAGCGGCGTTAAACCCAACTCATTCACTCACTCACTCTAGTTCAGTTATCCTTCTGCAGTTGTGAACAGGTGTCAGACATTGCTGAGACATCATCAGTTAACATACGGAAGCACAAGTTATTAATAGAAGATATCACAGTACTACCTTAACCAACCTCTCTTTCAATAAGGGTACCTAACTTGTCTATCAATATAATAAGTATTTGTGGACTTAAAACACTTCATTGACGGGTGCTTATGTAACAGGTCTGTTTGTTTGTTTGTTGTTTAACGCCGCACTTAGAAGTATTCCAGCTATATGACGGCGGTGTGTAAATAATCGAGTCTGGAGCAGACCATCCAGTGATTGTAAAACAGTTAGATATTTGTTTGTTTGTTTAGTTTGTTGTTTAACGCCGAGCTCCGCAGTATCCCAGCTCCATGTATATGCCGGTGGTCTGTAAATAATTGCGTATGGACCAGACAATCATGTGATTGACATTATGACTATCAATCCACGCAATTGGGATACGATGACATGCATCAAACAAGTCAGCGAGCCTGACAAGCATGGTCGCCTTTTACGGCAAGCATGGGTTGTTGAAGACCTATTCTACCCCGGATCTTCATGGGTCCAGTTAGATATACCTTTAGAGGTTCTAAGACAAGCAGATACAGTATTATACTGTATACATTGATGTGACTTTATCCAAACATTTACCCTAAATATCAACTTCACACAGAGTGTGCAGGAGAACATTATGTCTTAGAGTGGCCAATGCCTTGGAAACGTCAATGAAGAGGCATTAAGCTCTGCCTGTTTCTCCACCACTGTATTTTTTAACTCTAGCCTGTAATGAATAAAATATTGTCAACGGTATAGTAATGAGCTCTAAAACCAGCTTGTTCTCTGATAATATTATGATTCTCTCACCAATTTTGTAGATGGCTGTTTAAAAAAGACGTAAATGCTTTACAGGTTGAGTCTATCTATGAGAGAAATACCTCCATAGCTGTTGGGGTCATTTCAACAGCCAGACGTGAAAAGAGGACACACAATACCCATACCCCAGCAACAGGGGAATCTGTGATTTAATGTGATTCAAAATGTGAGTCCGGTAAGGTACTTCAAGAAGCTTTTAAAAAATCAGCAGCCGCACAATCTTGTCCTGGTTAATTGTTATTTGCAGCATTAAGTATATGAACAAAACGTCTTGATCAGAGATTGGTTGATTGAGCGCTCCAGTGGGCCTTTCTGTTAAAGGACGCAACTCATCATTGATGTCAAGGGGAAGTACATTGACTGGCAGCATGAAGTGATCCATCCCCTGCTACAAGATATTGACTGTTAAATGCCACTAGACGTATTACACTTTATTTTCTTGAATATTGCTCCTTCTTAATTCTAAAGGTATTCTCATTCAAATTCCGTAACTGTCTAAAATCACTTTTTCCTGAATATAATCTCTATGCCCTCTAAGAGCTCTGTATATCTTGTTTTTTTAGCTCCTCTAATCCCTGGTCCAACCAAAGGGGCTACTGGTCCTGCTCAATAACATGTTTATGTCTGGTAGGATAGAACCACTTTCGGTCCCTTTACACCGCATATGGATAAACTCTGTTTCAATTATGATGATTATGGGATATAAATAGCTATTGAAATATAGCCTAAAATAAACTTACGTTATATATTTATGTGTGTGCTTTGTAGAATAGGTCTTCAACAACTAATTCTTGCCGTAAGGATGTTCGTAAGGTGCGACTAACGGGATCGGAAGGTCAGGCTCGCTGATTTGGTTGATGCATGTCATCGTATCCCAATTGCGTGGATCGATGGTCTTGATGTCAATCACTGGGTCGATTATTTACAGACCGCTGTCGTATAGCTTGAATATTGCTGAGTGCGGCGTTAAACCACGAACAAACAAACACACACACAGTGTAAAAGTTGGGATTCAGTTACCTGTGTTCAGCAACAAATGACCGTGTATCTTACTCTTGATTCTTTCAAAATATCTCTAATGTATGACGGAACACATGTACATATTGTTGAAGAAGAATAGATGAAAAGCATTTATGGACAAGGAGAAAATGTTTGCATCATAAGTCTCCGAAAGTAGTTGCAGAGAAAGCGTAGATTGTAAATCACCTTGTAAAGTAACAGGGTATTTGTCCGAATTTGTAAAAGGTGGGCGTGGCTGGATGCAGAGCTAAAGCGATTGATCAAAGTATTCATGTTTTAATATACCATTTAGAATTAAGCAACATTGTCAGCATATAAAAGCACTTTCGTCTCGTTGGTCTTCTGGTCCATTGTTTGATTTCCTGGTTAATTTACAGGCCTATTTCGTACTTCAGGTGTACTGCTGTTCGGCAAGAAACATTTAACTTACTTTTTTATGTGGCGGATGATATCGATAGGGCAGGACATGCTTTCCCGTTTCTCGAACACCTGGTGTCATCACAGTTTTTGAGTGATCCATTCATATATTTATTTTTGTATTTATTTGTTGTTTTATCTTTTACGCCCAATGGGTTTTTGGGGATAATCGAGACTGGTTCTTATCTCGCATTGACGTTTTCAACTTTACACTCGCGCTTCATTGACTTACATTAATAAAAGAATCATATAGTAATTGCAAACAGGAACCAAGCTGCCAACAGGTGGCAGGCATGACTAGCCACCCATACCTTCGGGGTACGATTGCCCACAATCAACCAGACCGCCTCCGTGGTCTAGTGGTAGAGCGTCCGCACGGAGAGCGGAAGGTCCGAGGTTCGATCCCCGGCCGCGTCATACCAAAAGACATTAAAAGGTGGTAATTGTTTGTTACCCTGTCTGGGGCTCGGCATTAAGGGGCTAACACAAGGACTTGTCGGCTCGGAGTCAGTATACTGTGTCTGAGTGGGGTATTCATGTTAAACTACGGCATGGTATCTCACATCTTCCCGAGGCAAGAGAGTTAACTGACTTTAAAGTCCAGTGTCCACCCTTGCCGAACTAGGCTGGAATTCCTGGGCTCGATCGTAGCGCCACCAGTGGCTGTTACGAGTTATGTCCTTTCTATGCCCCTCCTATTGGCCAATCAGATTCAACCTCTCGTATCACTTGCATTTGCTTCAAACAAAACGGTGGCGCCCAGTCAAGACGATCTGATCGATAATCAAGATCTATATTTTTGATAAAACGAGTCGTACATCGCGAAGTGCATCAAATCACGTGAGCACCTTGATTAGAAACATGAAAAGATTTAGAAAATATCTGTTGACAACGAGTTAGCGGTGCACATGTTTTGCAAATTCTGCAGTCGACCGAAATCTGCATGACGCTTTACGAACCGGATTTCGATTTCGGTGCGCGATTTTGATTGGACTATGCATAGACTCGTTAGTCCAGCCAAAATGTAACTCCATAATACCAGCCTAGTTCGGCAAGGATGGAAACTGGACTTTTATAGTCAGTTAACTCCCTTGCCTCGGGAAGATGGGTATGTCAGTGAGCTGGCACTATAAATCGGCATCAGTCTGGACTAGTACAAGCAGCCACACACACACAATAATCTTGGACGCGACGTTAAACCCCACCTCACCTCACCTCACCTCATAATCAACCAAGTTACCGAGCCTGACAATCCGATTCATTTTGTCAAGGTTGCTGGTGAATAATTCTAACCCGGAATACAAACAAATCACGAAGATGGTCAATATCGGGCATCTTTAAAAAAACATTGTACAAACAAGAAAACAAAAAAAGACATCAGATTAAACCTTAACTTTTATTTACGCACATGGAAGCTACTATACAACAGTAAAGAAAATGATTGTTTTTAAGTCTTTTTACAAGATATCGCTAATTCGGCACCTATTCCTGAGCCTAAAATCTTACTTGCATCCTTTGTGATTATGTTTACGCCATGCCTCTTGAGTTTCCCGAGGTTAATTGGCACTCTCCCTTTGTCATTACAAAACAAAAATAAACAAATTCAAATTACTCACAGTGAGTGAGAGAGTGAATTTCATATTGGCAATATTTCTTAATATGGTGAATATACTTTACACAAAACGTGGAGGGTAACATACGGTAAAGATATTTGCGGGGATAATCAATCATCTTGGTCTGTTTTCATGACCAGTGCCTTATGCTTTCGCTGAGTTGGTTTCAGAGACATTACCACTGTCTTTTGCTGTGAATTCACTTCACAGCCTGCCTCTAGCCACTCCAGTTATCATTGGTTTCAGCTCTGGCAATAATTCCGTTGGCAGCCAGAGCCTGAGAAACGTCGTTGTCAACAGATTTGTTGGTGACCTCGCTGCGGGATGCGAACCTTCCGGTTACTTGAACTTCACAGAAGGTCAAGAGATCATTGCTGTCAACCATACTGGTCTTCTGGATCTTGATGTAGCGGGCTACAGTGGGCGCAAAGCAGCTGACGGTGACGTTAGCTCCAGCAGCGACGTTGCCAGTGATGGTGCCGCAAAGTTTAGGGAACTCCAAGTACCTGTAGGGGTCTTTCAAAAGAGTACCGATGTTGATGTTTCGCAGGCGTTCAGCTTTAATGGAAAAGAACATGCTTTCTTAGTGCCAATAGACATACGTAACTCTGTACTTAAATACATGAACCTTAAATGTATATTATTTTCTTTTATTATTCAAAACATATGGCAGTATAAGATGTGTATAAACTTTACGGCCTTTTTATCAGATTGGGCTGACTCAATATTAATGGATCATCTCTGACGTAGAAAACACAACATCCTAACACTCACCACAGCAGTCGCCCCTGTTGGTGAGGGTGATGGACTGGATGTTGAAGTAGTCGCCGAGGTCGATGTAGAAGGTGGGACTTGTGTTGCCAATGGCGCTGGAGTAACAGCTTCTTCCGGTGACGAACTGGCTGTCAAAGTTGCCGTCAACAGCTAGGCCAGGGGAGGCAATCAAGTTGGCGGAAGGGAGACTAAACTGAGAGGTGACGCGTACTGGGCGATTCCTGGCGACGTTGGAGAAAGGAATATTCAGGAAGTTTTCTGAAATTAAGAAATGAAAGTGTTGATATGAACCTTTACTTTGTGTTGAAGCATTCATGGCTACTGTTATGCTGTAAAGATCAAATTTAACGGCTATGTTTACCATGTTAAAAGTTTGGATATCACATTTATTGAAAGTATTGGTATGAAATCATATGTATGTAACGCTGAACAAGTATTGGAATTACAATGCCATCTCTGCTGGAGAACTATTGCTGAAAGTAATATAAATGGTTTAATATAGGACAAAGGATACCTACTATTGAAGTTGCCTCCGGAAACAACGACTTCGCAGATGGTGAGAGGGGCGGTGGCGGAGGGTTTTCTGATTCGGACGTAGCGTCCAGTCACCATCGGAGAGCAGGAGCGTGCAACAGTCTGACCAAGGGCCACTCCACCAATGATCATGGAGCAGAACTCGGGAGTCTCGGAACTGCTTGTGGGATTGAACTCAAAGACCTCGATTGTCAGACCACTCAGACGATCAGCTGAAAAGAGTAGATGCCTTGTTCAATCTCCAACGTGTATTTCTTTGAACAATGTGTCCATCCTTCATCACTTGCTTATTATATGACATGAGTTGATACGGTTCTTGGGATATGTTTTGTGTATAAAATCATCTGCTCGCTACCACCGATCCAGTGTTGCATTACTGGGATATACACCCTGGTATTATCGCCTGTGTCGTGGCAGTGGAATGATACATACTTCAAAGTGGGTATCTTTGAACACATTCTAAAAAATACTGAATGTCGTTCGTTTATGCATGTGTGAGAATCATGGCAAATTGGCCTCCAATAGGGTTGCGTTCACCTCTATGATCACAAAAAAACGTTGGGAAAACCTCTCTTAAACCACCATTGTTTACAATTACAATTTATGTGAATTTAAATCACATGATATTTTATTTGTTCTTTCGAATGGTATCTTTCTTTCATCATGATATGAGTGAGCGAGTTAATATTTAACGTCACATCGGCAGTATTTCAGCCATATCGTCATGATATGATAATTGAAAAATTACAGTGTACACTTACGTTTCAAACACATAGCAATGCACATGCAGCTAAGTGACGCTGCCATGCCAAAGTAAAACAGGGCTCTGTTTATCGACTATCACGCCTCTTATTCAGTCAGCTCAACCTGATAAACGACACGTTATGGCACAGGACAGCCATACAATTTAAGGTTACATACCACAACAGTCGGCCCTGTTGGTGAGGGTGATGCCGGACACGAAGACGCGGGAACCAAGGTCCACGAACCAGAAGGGGTTGGGATCTGTCGCCACATCAGTGCTGGAGAAACATGAGCCGCCGAAGAAGTCGGGGTTGAAGTTGCCGTCGACGGCGAGGTTTGAGTTGGCGGCGACGGGGGGCACACCGTTGACGAAGACACTGCTGGAGCCGGTGGGGCGGCTCAGTGCGATGTTGTAGCCTGGGTATGCAAGAGAAGAATTAGTGTTGAAACGAACTGGTTTAAAAGCCAACGATACTTCAACGTGTTTTGTATGTACGATATCCAAGGTGTAGCAGTTCTAGGCTTTGTAACCACGTTTTTAATATACGATGCATATGAAAGCAGTTGCCTACCGAAACTATTGGCTTTCGCCACTGCTAAGAGAGCCACCAAGCAAACAATCGAGACCATTGTGGACGATGGGATCGAATGATGACCAGTGATTGTGGATCACAGTTTATATTCGTATCAGGCGATCATATGTTAAATGGCTTCTTGGGCAATGTGATGTAATTGAGAGTTGTTAATGAGTAGGATTAATGTTTTTAGACCAGAAGTGCTCATTAGACCAGACCTGTCCGATATTAATCCCTGGGCTGTTATATCGTTACATGAACTGAGACTCGGTGCATTATACGAAACAGGGCACCGATCAAACACATAATTATAAGAAGATACGTTTAAAGTTAATTGTTCACATTAAATAATTATATTTCTGACAATTTTTTCGATGAGCAGTAGCGGTGATTCCATTATAAGAACCTGTGACATGTTCTTATAAGAGGAAACTTCAATAAAATATGAAACGAAAAACCTAACGAGCTAAGAGGAATTAAGGACTATCTGTCCCGGGTTAATTAATTTGTTTGTCTTGGAGTGGGGGTGGGGGTGGAATTTCGCCCAAAGTTGACATAATGGACAATATTACGCAGCTGCCACAACCCCATGATCATCATATATGCCTTAACGGACAACTCGGTTCCAATGCATACACAGTCTCAAGAGATTTGGACCAGTAAAGATCCGGGGTAGAATAGGTCTTCCGCAACCCATGCTTGCCGTAAAAAGCGACTTTGCTTGTCGTAAGAGGCGACTAATGGGATCGGGTGGTCAGGCTCGCTGACTTGGTTGATGCATGTCATCGATCCCAATTGCGTGAATCGATGCTCATGATATCAATCACTGGACTGTTTGTCCAGACTCGATTATTTACAGACCGCCGTCATATATATAAACTATATATTTTACCTTGGGAACTTAATATTTGGAATAACATCATCTCACTTCAAGGTTCGGACAGATGTATCGGTACTTATCATAACTGACCCGTGAAAATCCGGGGTAGAATAGATCTTCGGCAACCCCTGCTTGTCGTAAAAACCGACTATGGTTGTCGTAAGAGGCGACTAACGGGATCGTGTGATCAGGCTCGCTGACTTTGTTGATGCATGTCATTGTATCCCAACTGTGTGGATCGATGCTCATGATGTCAATCACTGGATTGTCTGGTCCAGACTCGATTATTTCAAGACCGCCGTCATATAGCTGGAATATTGCTGAATGCAGCGTTAAACAACAAACAAACACACTTGTAGAGGCGTTGTGTCAGTCAGTATCTTGTTGGAACGACGTCACGTGAAACCGTTTGTGACCTCATGAATAATGAAAGACGCGATGCGGCAATGCGTTGATATCACGTCACGTTGTTAAGAACCACTTCGCCAAAAATACAAAAAATGGAATTATTTACGTGCCAGTCAGTATAAAACATTAGTTATTCTGATTTATTGAAAGAAATGTTAAATAGAGAATCTCCCCGGAGTGTCTTTTGATATCAAATATATCAACACGAGTTGATAAAAGTGGAAAAATATATTTGATATCAAAAGACACGAGGGTGAGATTTTATTTATCATCCAACATCATTTTTCCAACTTTTTCAATTTGTAGACAGTTATTAGCAGTGTCTTCAGAGTAAAAAGTACTGCTAACAGCTTCAGTAGCTGAGCCATTAGTGATTTCATTTGATTGTGACGTCATGGTAACCAGTGACGTCACAATTGTCTGCAAAGCATTGTGATGTAATTTCATTGCAGCGATATCTACAGTGTAGATATCGCTTGATCTAATCCAAGCGATATCTCCTGTGGGAGCCAGTTTTGGATGATAAAGTTATCTGTACACCTGTGTGTAATATGCACATTTATTACCTACGAGGGCAAACATATAGGGGTTCATAAAAAATCATATGTGCCCTAAGGTCATATCATGTCACGAGACAACAGTGTATTGTTTCCGTCATCCGGACGGCATTGTTGACGTCATTCGAGATTTATTGTCACGTGAGGTCGGAATGACGTCACACTAGAAGCGACGTCATAGCTGACGTCATTCGACAAGTTACGGTCCCGCTGATGTTGCAACTTGCTCTCCTTATAGGTAAACACTAAAATTCGTCTCTGTATGTAGACATCTTCTTCGGTAATAAATAGGACATTATATTCGTGTTCGTGTCATATTATGTTAAGGACACTGATGCCTAACTTCCGGTATTTCCCTCTCTCTCGCCGGGGAAATATTGGAATTATGATTCTTGTGTCGTAATCATATTATGACATGAACACTCATATAATATCTTCTATATTTCATGAACCAAATCTCTCTTGATGTTTTCCTTTTGATGTTACAAAATAAAGTTTGTATCGGTAATGTGTGTTGCTGTGACAGCAACTAGATGGATATGGGTACATATATCAGGGACATTCATTTCAGCAATTCTCACCGACCATTATAATGTTTGCTTCGTGTTGATAGGCTAGTTTACTCCAATCGTTCAACTGTTTGCATTGTTTGTGAACCTGCCCATAGCAACGTGACGTCATATCATGACGTCATCATAGATGTTACGTTCCAATATATGAATGAACTATGTCTCTACTTCTGACCGAAAGAACATGTTTTACACATTTTCACATGTATTACATAGACAACAAAACTCTGAAATACAGTTACCAGTCCGTCGTGAATTAATGTTGCAAGTCAGTCACCAAGGCTCTGGACTTTGCATTGGTTCGCATTATCTTGTCGCCGCTTCAAGAGTTTCGTTGTCCAAGCTGGGGCAGAATGTTTCACGTCCAATAATCTAATCAAGACTACAGGGAAAATACTCTCACTTTCAACATTGTATTTCTGTTTTAATATTTAAACCAAACAGACAAATTATTCTCAACGAAGACATAAGACTATGCTCATGTTTAAAGGAAGAGCAAACTAATATTTTTTCGTCAACAAAAATACCAGACCCATCGTCACGATAAAACGTTCAGTGTTTGCACTATCGTAATCCTTAGGGAAAGACTTTTAAATTAGGTTCATGATCAGGAATTAATAGGGAGAACGGTATCCTCCCAAAACGCTGAACCTTTAAAGAACAATTATTACGGTTGTGTGCACCACTATTCTCAAACCTAATCCTCAGTCCTAGTAATGATATCTTCCAGGTTTAGTGAAAAGACAACAAACAAGGACCTAGGTTTGTGTTTTTATACTTGTAAATTTACTACAATATTTCATTTGACATTTTGACAATTGTATAGCGCTATGTGACCATTCAATGAAAGTACAGCACGTATTTATTTTTAAACGTGGCTCAGTACAAATATCTTAAACTCAAGGTTCTTAGTTCATATTTCCTAAGTTTTAATTTCTTCAGCATCAAGGACTCAAGGTCCTCGAGTCATCCACTCTGACTCTTTCGACTCCAGTTCGTGTTGTCACAACATAATAACCGTTCGATCTTATACATTTATCCTAAATACAAGAAATTTAAACTTCATACGGTATCTATAATTTTGGAATGATCCATTCGTTAATTAGGAGTGACCAGCATGTCCTGACCAATTCCTGTTCTGCGTTTTGGGACTGAACTAATGTAGAAACAATCGGTATCTGACAAACAAGGTGTGACCTCAGTCAGTCATTTGTCAATGGTAAGCGTTACCAGTTTCAGCGTTAACTGTCCTTTAATTGATTTATAATCTCACCTGCTCTTTAATAGCTTCGGGATCGGCTTAATGTAAGTGTGTTGTTAATTAACGAGACGTCATAATGTTATGTTATCTGACCAAACATAATGACCGTCTCTATATAAGCCTTGACCTCAGATCTAAGGACATCATTCGATCACCACATCCACAATGGTTTTCATCATATGTTTAGCAGCTCTGATCGCAGCGGCCAGCGCCAATAACTTCGGTAAGAAACGTGTACCATCTGATTTAGAAGCTATCTACTCATCATATTATATGCCCCATAAAATACAACTAAGTATATATTATTCATATTACTGTTTTTGTCATATTTCATTTGCCTATTTGCACCTACAGGCCAAAACATCGCCCTGAACCGCCCCACCGGCTCGAGCAGTGTCTTCGTCAACGGTGTGCCCCCAATCACCGCCAACTCAAACCTCGCCGTCGACGGCAACTTCAACTCCGACTTCTTTGGCGGCTCATGTTTCTCTAGCGCTGATGTGGCGACAGATCCCAACCCCTTCTGGTTCGTGGACCTGGGTTCCCGGGTATTCGTGTCCGGCCTCACCCTCACCAACAGGGGCGACTGTTGTGGTAAGTTAGATAAATACTCGACAGTCAAACCAGTTTACATTGCCTTAGACACATGTATAGTCCATATTCTTAATACACCACCAGTGCAAGACAGCCCGCACATCCAAAAAATATAAAGGGAAGCAACGTTCCATTACCATGCGAAAGCTCTACTAAACGTCTCTATGTTTTTTTTCATAAGAACAATATGCATCGTATACTCAAAAGAGTTAATAGTTATATAAGTGGAGCCTTCGTACTTTGAGATATAAACATATAATCCATATTCAGATCGATATTTGTATTCCACATTCCCAGTTCCATATCCACCATTTCATCCATATCCATATACACATTTTATCCATATCTATATACACATTTTATCATTATCCATGCCCACAGTTTTATCCACATCTAAACTCATACCAATTCAGTTTAAGGTAATTCCATATATATATCTACAGTTTTATCCATACCTATATTTATGTTCCTATGTTTCTCCATACCTACAATTATATCCAAATATATATCCACATTTACATCCACTCCAACAATGATATCCATATCCCTATTTATACCAACAGTTTTATCCAATTTTCAAAAAAAAACAACAGTTGTATCTATATGCACCGTTTTATCCATAAACCATATTTATACCAAAGTTTAATCCATAAGCCATATTTATACCACATTTTTATCCATAAACCATATTTATACAAAAGTTTTATCCATAAGCTATATTTATACCAAAGTTTTATCCATAAGCCATATTTATACCAACGTTTTATCCATAAGCCATATTTATACCAAAGTTTTATCCATAAGCCATATTTATGCCACAGTTTTATCCATAAGCCATATTTATACCAAAATTTTATCCATAAGCCATTTTTATGCCACAGTTTTATCCATAAGCCATATTTATGCCTAAGTTTTATCCATAAGCCATATTGATACCAAAATTTTATCCATAAGCCATATTTATACCAAAGTTTTATCCATAAGCCATATTTATACCAAAGTTTTATCCATAAGCCATATTTAAACCCACAGGTTTATCATAATCACAGCCAACAATGCCAGGTGTATTTATCAGCTGTACAAAACTTGCCGTCTACTTACGACATTCGCCATTTGAAGCTAGTTTGAAATCACTGATCGCAGAGCTTCGAACCTGGACCTGATAGTGACGAACGCATGCCTTAGCCTCACGGTAATCAAAGCAAATGTATTCATATGTTTAACTAAATAGACAAATGATTAAGGACGACAAATGTATGTGTTATTGAAATGTGAAGAAGTGCATCTTCTGTGTCTCAGCTGATCGTCTGAGTGGTCTGACAGTCGAGGTCTTTGAGTTCAATCCCACAACCAGTACCGAGACTCCCGAGTTCTGCTCCACGGTCATTGGTGGAGTGGCCCTTGGTCAGACTGTCTCACTCTCCTGCTCTCCGATGGTGACTGGACGCTACGTCCGTATCAGAAAACCCTCCGCCACCGCCCCTCTCACCATCTGCGAGGTCGTTGTGTCCGGAGGCAACATCAAACGTGAGTATAAATGTGCTAACAGTGGTCAGTGGTCATCAATCGTTTCCCTGTTCTTATATATTTATCTTATCCATAATGCTATCTTACGTAAAACACGAATTTCGACATTCGGAAACATGCTTGCCAAATACCCATGCTGTATTATTTGTAAAGATCGTTTGTGTAAAAGAGGTCGGCCCAGATCCGTTTGACCCTAATGCAGTTTATAGCATTCGGTAATAATAGGTTTTAGTAGACCGAATTGGATAAACAAGTGGAATTTGTCCGAGTAAACATTATCTGTACGAAAAAACATAAATGTTATCGTTTTCAATATTTTTTATATTTTTTTTTTAACTTTATTTATCTATTTTATTATATGATTAGTCTCTGGACAATATTGACTAGTAGCTTGATTGAAGCAAAAGATTCTGTATATACTATCACAACAGCTAATTCCTAAATAGACTTGGATGCACACGAATACATAAACTACGGTTATAACGAACACGCTTATAACGAACTGACGGATATAACGAACTAAATGTTTTGGTCCCGACTATTTGCTGTTGTTATACTGTATATATGCTTACAATGAACTACGGTTATAACAAACTAAAATTAGTAGTCCCTTTGAGTTCGTTATAACCGTACTTTACTTTATATAATCTTTACAATTTGGCCTATAAGTGTATACGCTGTGGTATTGACCACGTAAGTTGTATTCTATTTCTGCAATTTCAGCGAAATTTAACGGTGTCAATCCCACCAACGTCGCCCTGAATCGCCCAGCGCGCGCTACCTCGCAGTTTACTTTCGCTGCCGCCAACCTGGTTGCCTCCCCTGGCCTCGCCGTGGACGGCAACTTTGACAGCCAGTTCGTCACCGGAAGGAGCTGTTTCTCCAGCACCACTGGTGATTTAACTCCCACCTTCTACATCGACCTCGGCGCCTACTACTACATCAGCTCCGTCACCGTCACCAACAGAGGCGACTGTTGTGGTAAGCATTACATCGTTGTGTCCCATGTTTTACCCATGAAGATCCGGGGTAGAATAGGTCTTCAGCAACCCATGCTTGCCGTAAAAGGCCACTATGCTTGTCGAAAGAGGCGACTAACGGGATCGCTGACTCGCGTGGATCGATGCTCATGATATCAGTGACTGGATTGTCTGGTCCAGACTCGATATCTACAGACCGCCGTCATTTAGCTGGAATAGTGCTGAGTGCGGCGTAAAACAACAAACCAACCAACCAATCTATTGAATTAATTTGGATGTAATAACATTACATGTTTTAGCGACGTGCACAATATTGTGCATGTTGTTGGTCGATAGTGTGTTCATGAATCAGTACGGTTTGGATGTTATGACATGCTGTCTTTGAGCTTATGACTATAAAAATCCTGTTATATCTAATTAATATGTAACTCTACCTTGGGCTTTAGCATCACAGCGCCACGTTATTTACATTGATTTTCCAACATACCAATCCTATCTTAATAGTTTTGAGAATTATACCTTTGTTAATATGACCTGAAGACGATTTATTTGTGCCCTGTGATTTTGCCTGTATGACACGGTGACGTCATTGTCTTCAACAGCCGAGCGTCTCCGCAACATCGACGTCGGGATCCTTATAAAGGACCCCTTCAAGTTCCTGGAGTTCCCACATCTCTGTGGTAGCATCACTGGCAACGTCGCTGCAGGAGCGAACTTCACCGTCAACTGCTTCTATCCCGCCGTTGGCCGCTTCATCAAGATCCAGAAGACCAGTATGGTCGACAGCAACGACCTCTTAACTCTCTGTGAAGTTCAGGTCAGCGGAAGGTCCGCTTCCCACAGCGAGGTCACCAACAAGTTTGTGGACGATGACGTTCAGCGTGCAGCGTTTGAAAACAACGCTGGTCTTACCAATGTAGATATCGGTCGTGTCAATGCTGCCTTTGATTTTGGTTTCAACGAGAAGTGAAGAAGTCATGGTTGATTTGTGACGACCCATTACTTTCCCTGGAACACATTTTGAGTGTCTGCATCAGCAAGTCCTGGCTTGATGTTTATGCCATTATTTGCTAATATACATGTAGATGCCAAACATTTTGTTCCAGTGCAAAGTAATAAGTCTTCACATTTTATATATATATATATATATATATATATATATATATATATATATATATATATATATATATATATATATATATATATTTTTATATATATATATATATATATTATGATTATAATTATTAATACTGGTATTCATCTATTATCTATCTTTTAATGTACTCATAGGAGGTCATGGCGTGATTTCAGCATGTTCTATTTTGTCACGGTGAATAACAATAATTACTTACTGAGATTACCTCACTCAAAGTTTGCGTAATTCGGTATGCAAATAAAATGTCACACGTAAAACTTGAGTTTATGTATCTTTGACATCATTCCAAAGCAGGAAATAGCCGGAGAATGGGTTGGTTTGTTGTTTTACCCTGCACTCAGCAATATTCCCGCTGTATGACGGGGGTCTGTAGAAAATCGAGTCTGGACCAGACAATCCAGTGATTGATATCATCGATGCGCAATTGGGATCGATGACATGCATCAACCAAGTCATCGACCCCGACCATCCGATCCCGTTGGTCGCCTCTTACTTCAAGCATGGTCGCAAGCCTGGGTTGCAGAAGAGTTATTCTACTCCGGATCTTCACGGAGGATGGGAAGCTTGTCATACACTAAAACGAAAATGTTTCAGTGTGATTACTTATGGTTACTGGTAGTCGGTCACTCATGAGTTAACGGTCTCATCAGGCACTGATAGTAGAAAATATCTGATCAGGCACTGATAGTAGAAAACATCTCATCTGGCAAGGATAGTAGGAAACATCTAATCAGGCATTGATACGTGGAAAACATCTCAACAGGCACCGATGGTAGAAAACATCTCAACAGGCACTGATAGTAGAAATATCCCATCAGGCACTAATAGAAGAAAACATCTCATCAGGCACTGATAGTAGTTGGTTGGTTGGTTGGTTTTTTAACGCCGCACTCAGCACTATTCAAGCTACATGACGGCGGTCTGTAAATAATCGAGTCTGGACCAGTGATTCATATCATGAGCATCGATCCACGCAATTGGGATTGATGACATGCAACAACCAAGTCAGCGAGCCTGACCACCCGACCCCGTTAGTCACTGATAGTAGAAAGCATTTCATCGGGCAACTGATAGTAGAAAACATCTCATCAGGCACTTATAGTAGAAAACATCTCACCGGGTACTGATAGTAGAAAACATCTCATCAGACACTGATAGTAGAAACCACCTCATCAGGCACTGATAGTAGAAAACATCTCATCAGGCACTGATAGTAGAAACCACCTCATCAGGCACTGATATCAGAAAACATCTCATCAGGCACTGATATCAGAAAACATCTCATCAGGCACTGATAGTAGAAAACATCTCATCAGGCAAGGATAGTAGAAAACATCTCAACAGGCACCGATAGTAGAAAACATCTCATCAGGCACTGATAGTAGAAAACATCTCATCAGGCACTGATAGTAGAAAACATCTCATCAGGCACCGATAGTAGAAAACATCTCATCAGGCACTGATAGTAGAAAACATCTCATCAGACACTGATAGTAGAAAACATCTCATCAGGCACCGATAGTAGAAAACATCTCAACAGGCACTGATAGTAGAAAACATCTCAACAGGCACTGATAGTAGAAAACATCTCATCAGGCACTGATAGTAGAAACCACCTCATCAGGCACCGATAGTAGAAAACATCTCATCAGGTACTGATAGTAGAAAACATCTCATCAGACACTGATAGTAGAAAACATCTCATCAGACACTGATAGTAGAAAACATCTCATCAGGCACCGATAGTAGAAAACATCTCAACAGGCACTGATAGTAGAAAACATCTCATCAGGCACTGATATCAGAAAACATCTCATCAGGTACTGATATCAGAAAACATCTCATCAGGCACCGATAGTAGAAAACATCTCATCAGGTACTGATAGTAGAAAACATCTCAACAGGCACTGATAGTAGAAAACATCTCATCAGGCACTGATAGTAGAAAACATCTCATCAGGCACCGATAGTAGAAAACATCTCAACAGGCACTGATAGTAGAAAACATCTCATCAGGCACTGATAGTAGAAAACATCTCAACAGGCACTGATAGTAGAAAACATCTCATCAGGCAAGGATAGTACAAAACATCTCATCAGGCACTGATAGTAGAAAACATCTCATCAGGCACCGATAGTAGAAAACATCTCAACAGACACTGATAGTAGAAAACATAACATCAGGCAAGGATAGTAGAAAACAGCTCATCAGGCACCGATAGTAGAAAACATCTCAACAGGCACTGATAGTACAAAACATCTCATCAGGCACTGATAGTAGAAAACATCTCATCAGGCACCGATAGTAGAAAACATCTCAACAGGCACTGATAGTAGAAAACATAACATCAGGCAAGGATAGTAGAAAACATCTCATCAGGCACTGATAGTAGAAAACATCTCAACAGGCACTGATAGTAGAAAACATATCATCAGGCACCGATAGTAGAAAACATCTCATCAGGCACTGATAGTAGAAAACAAACAAAAGGTTGAACAACCGATAGCACCCGCCCCTTCAGCTGACCATCAATTTTGACACAGTCATTTACTTTTATGGCTTCGGTTGCCATTGTGTGAGGATCATTCGCTTGACGATAGAATCATCGTCTGCTCTATATTCTTTTTCATGTCGTTTATTATTTCTTATTAATGATTTTTTCTCAACAGTATATTTAGAACATATTACTTTTTCGATTTCAGCATAATTCATCTGAACAAAAAGTATTAGTAATCACGCCCTGGTGAGAATCGGTACACTTTTATAGTAGCCATTTTGTTAGGTCATGTCATGTATCATGTGGCCGGCCAAAAATAGTTCCGTTTGCACGTGATGTTATTAAACAATGTGGGTGAGGTGAGGTGAAATGGCGTCAAACGTGTGTGTGTGTGTGTGTGTGTGTGACTGCTTGTGTACTAGACCGGGCTGATGCCGATTTACAGTGCTAGATCACCGAGTTACCATGTCACAGTTGCCCACTCAGACATAGTATACTCAGAGCCGACCAGCCCTTGCTTTAGCCCCTTAATGCCGAGCGCCAGATAGGGTAACAACAAGTACCATCTTTTAACGTCTCGAACCCCGGACCTTCCGGTCTCCCTGCGGACGCTCTACCACTAGACCACGGAGACAGTCCATAAAACAATGTGTAATATCGACGTATGTTTATTAAACGGGTTATCTCTTCACGGATGAGTGATAAAAGTTTGTAAAGAGGTGCATGTCGAGTCGAACGGGAGCATATGTAAGGATGAGATTTATTCTTACTAATGAAAACACTCAACGCATGAACCATTCCATAGAACTAGCAAATTGGGAATATCACTGATTTATGAATGTGTGGAGATGTGTTTGGACAGTCGGAAACCAATTCGGACGATGCGGAATGGACTGGTGGGGATTGAATGCACTGACACATTTGTGTTCTGTGATCATTTCAACGTCAGGCTGTGTTACGTTTGGAGTTTGGAATTTGTCGTGTGTGCTGTAATTTTTTTATTTATTTTATTTTTATTCATTTTTTTTATTTATTTTTTTTTGGGGGGGGTGGGATTTAAGTTTCTTTTCTAACCTTATTATACTTTATGGTTTCTCAAAATCTTGGATTCCTTTCCGATACGATAGTGAATCGGGTTTTAGTTTGGGATTGTCCAGGAGCAGTCGATTTGATCTGTGTCGGCCGCCACATCTGAGCAAGGTACGACATTTCGTTCGCTTTAAAAAGGATATATCAAGCAAGGATCAAAAAGAAAGTTGAAAAACTAGTTGATCGTAAAGACCGATTTAGAATTTGGGGAAACCCCGGAAGTAGTTCCGGCAAAAGTTCACACGATCAATTTCACCAAAAAAATGAACCTTTTTGTCCGTTCACAGGTGTGTGAACTCCAAATATCAGATCACGTGACTATCCATTCAGCATATCAGCATAAAAGAAACTTCAAAGTTTGAAATTGCTAGCATTTATTTCAAATTACATTTCAAGCGACAATGTGTACGGACATTATATACTGAGTAAATTAGCTGATATTGTACGAGAGAGATAAACCACAAGAGATAAACTGACGGAGATACAGAACTGAGTCGAAAGTGAAGCTGGAGGTAACAATGCTATCTTAATTGTCAGTGGAAAGAACACCGCAACAAAGGAAGTACTCCTTGGAGTTGCAGCTTTGTCGGTCCCAGAGGTAGTCCCCGTTGTCGTTGCAACGTAGCAGGGCGCAGTTGTCAGACCTCGGGTCGTTGCCCACCACCTGTGAGTCGGAGAGGCCCAGAAACGGCGTCATGTGGCTGGTCCCGTTCAGAAGGGGATAGGTGAAGTTGGTCGGATAGACCGCGTCTCCGTACAGGTACCGCCAGGTCTCCTTGTCTTCCATGTTGGTAGCACCAATCCAGTAGTTGGCATCTATAGAGAATAAATGTTAAATAACATTTTAGGATTTGGGAAAGTTTGTTCGTTTGTTGTTTAGAGCCGCACTCCGCAATATTCCAGCTATATGACGGCTGTCTGTAAATAATCGAGTCTGGACCAGACAATCCAGTGATTGACGTCATGAACATCGATCCACGCAATTGGGATCGATGACATGTATCTACCAAGTCAGCGACCCTGACCACCCGATCCGGTTAGTCCCTCTTACGACAAGCACAGTCGCCTTTTACGGCAAGCATGGGTTGCTGAAGACCTATTCTACCCCGGATCTTCCCGAACTGGGACAGAAGTTAACGAGTGAAGGTGGGTAGTGTGATAATGTGGTTTCACGTCGAAATCAGCATATTCCAGCTGTGTCATTGTAAATAATGGAGTCTATGTAAACCAGTGGTTAATGGTAAGAGCAACGATTTAATGTCTAGGTTGCACACACAATCAGCGAGGTCACACGTTGTGAACACAGACATTCATTGGTCGTCTGTACTAACAAGCATGAGGTACATGGAATGTAGACATAATGCTTCAGTGTGGTTTTTTGTGTGTGTTTGTTTGTTTGTTAGTTTGTTGTTTAACGCCGAACTCTGCGGTTTGGCGGCGGTCTGTAAATAACTGAGTCTGGACCAGACAATCCAGTGATTGACATCATGAACATCGAACCACGGAATTGAAATACCATGACATGCCTCAACTAAATTCAGCAAGCCTGACAACCCGATCCCTCTTACGAAAAGCACGGGTTGCTGAAGACCTTTTATGACCTGGATATTCACGGGCCACATGCTTTTGACCCATAATCGTTCTTGTAGTGCAGACAAAGACAATGTAAAGCATACATATAACACATACAGATATGGTTATAATTCATTCTCACAATACGGGTTCTCAACACAAATCAGAAAATTGAATTGTCATACTGGAACTATTCAGGGGAGGTAACTCACCTTTGGGGTAGGCGGGTAAGATGGAGGTGACGAAGTTGTTCATGTCGGTTGTGCGAATTTCTGCCAGATCTGTGAAGAGGACGTTGCAGTACTCCTGGGAACACACGTCGTTATAAGATGTACACAAGGCTATCAATCGCATGGGTAGCGCGGCGGAGTGAATGATATCGAAGTCACCTGATATGTTAGTGAGTGTGTGAGTGAATGAATAAATTTGATTGTCTGTTGTTTAACGCCGCACTCAGCACTATTCCAGCTATATGATGGCGGTCTGTATAAAATCAAGACTGGACAGGCAATCCAGTGATTGACACCATGAGCATTTTATCCACGCAATTGAAATACGATTACATCCATCAACAAAGCCAGTGAGCCTGACCACCCGATCCGTTAGTCGCCTCTTTAGGTAAACATAGTCGCCTCTTACGACAAACATGGTCGCCTCTTACGACAAGCATGTATCAATTCTAACCCATCAGATTGCTAGCTGAATGCATGACACATTGGTGTGTGCCGTGGTACATGTCTATGTCGACTACTGTTCGTACCTGTGCTGTTTGCGATCGATTGTGTGATTTGGTAACTAGGATTACCTGAGCCTGAGCGAATGTAGTCGCGAAGCAGGAACTATAGAAGCAGTAGCGATCTAGTTGTTCATATCCGGCCGGACAAGCTGTGACAAAATACATCGATACATTCATGTTTGAAATATGTGTGAGCCACAAAAGACTGTTCAGCTTGCGATGGTTTTGACTGTCGAATCGTACCTCTCATCAGACATGTACATTCCAGCTTATCAAAAGATACTCGCTGACGTAGTACTAACATTATTTATTTTCTAAGATAGGTATGATTTAAATCCAAATGAAAGACATTCAGACTGTTGTGTACTCTACCTTACTTGTCTGTACCAGGCAATCCGGTGATTAATATCATGAGCAACAGTCCAGGCAATTGGGATCGAAAGCATGCATCAACCAAATCAGCGAGCTTGACTAACGGGATCGGGTGATCAGGCACGCTGACTTGGTTGATGCATGTCATTGATCCCAATTGCGTGGATTGATGCATTAAACAACAAACCAACCAACAAACCTTCCTAGTCGCACTTGATGACTATCCACTTAATTCCTGCGACCTATAGGAAAACATTTACTTTGTGGGCAACTTTGCATAACGGGGTATGTATGCTGGTATACATTTTTTACTTTACATATGGATAAAATGTTAATCTTAAAGTAAACAGTCTAGTTTCTGTGTCAGCGCGCCGAAACAACATCTGCATCTATGTATATCAAAGGCGACAAGACCTGCCATAAAAGACGTAATTATAAGCACTAGGTTACTTACGGAACTAGGTTACAATACACTTGCGGTAACGGTATCCTTAATTACGTTCATAGGTTCATGTCAGTATTACTATATGTCGGGGCGGTTGGGTAGCCTAGCGGTTAAAGCGTTCGCTCGTCACACCGAAGATCCGGGTTCGATTCCCGGCATGGGTGTAATGCGTGAAGCCGATTTTTGGTGTCCCCCGCCGTGATATTGCTGTAATATTGCCAAAAGCGGCGCAAAACCATACTCACTCAGTACTATATGTTACAAATACGGATCAACCCGTTAAAGAAATCTGCCAATATGCTCTGTAAGATTTTACTAAATACTTCTACATCTCCCAATAATGTTTATAATTAAATACGGAAAACAAACTAAAAAAGAAATACTTTATATTTCATCGAATGTGATCTTTGAATAGGGATTTCCTATGAGAAATAAATTCTGGGGGTCATCATGTCATTAGCTCCCAGGGAGTTTATGAATACAACTCCCGTTCAGATTGAAAAATATGAATGTTTCCAGCTAGGTAACGATATTTTGCATTTTAACAATAAATGAAATCATGTAAAATCAAATGACAGTAGTTTTCTTTATATTCCCGAGGATGGAACACACAACCTTCGTATCTGTAGCCCAGTGAGTGTACCTCAAGGGAACAATGGCGCTTTTTAGAATGTCTTTTTCAAGTACCGTACGGGGCGGTCGGGTAGCCTAGTGGTTAAAGCGTTCGCTCGTCACGCCGAAGACCCGGGTTCGATTCCCGACATGGATACAATGTGTGAAGCCCAATTCTGGTGTCCCCCGCCGTGATATTGCTGGAATATTGCTAAAAGCGGCGTACAACTATATTCACTCACTCACTTTTTCAAGTACCGTACGCCAGCAACAGATATTTTACGCCCGTTTCCTAGGGTTCATGGAAAGTATGTTTGACACATACAAATTTTGATAAATGTTTGAAGTTTCTTTTTTCGGTTTGTAAGTTAGATTAAACACTTTCCCTAGGTTTTTCTCATATTTAAAATATTTATCCCGATGTGGGTTTTAAATACCATAGAAACTCTCTGACGTGCTATATCCTTAACATAAAAAACGAACACACATATAATACCATAAAAATATTTAACACAAACAAGGCAACCAGCCGACCCAACCAGGATTATAATAGACTATAAGTAATGACAACAAAAATTTTTTTTAAAAATACGGACAAAATAAGAAAATACAAAATATCCTAGCTCATTAATGTAGCCCGAAGGTAGGTACTACAGTTAAACACCAACGTCGGTACTGGCGTTCTTGTTTTGGCCGTTTTTATGAACGGGGAATAATTAACAGAACTTGCGAAACCTCATTTCAGAATCTTGCAATTCCTTTGGTTAATCCGTACCTCGTGTCGAAACAGTACATTTAAATGTAGACTGACACTGACCTTGCATTCTGACTCGTCACATGATCAGTATTGACCTGTCACGTGATGAGTTTTGAGTCGTGTGTTAGAAAACAAGATGGCCTCTGGTAATAACACTTCACGGTCCGCAGCTAAGTTATTGTAATGAAACAGAGGACGGTTTAAAGGCTTCATCAACACCAATGTGAATTTAAGTATAGCAAAACAAATGATCTCTCTTGACGAGGTCAATATGCGAAAATAGGAACCCTCGGACCCGACTCCTTCGGCGATCTGACCGGACCTGCCACCATGTTTTCGTATATTGACCTCGTCAGGGCTAATTATTTGTAGATTATCGAGGGAAGGTAGCACATGAAATTATGTTTTGAAATTTGAAAGAAACCGTTGTATACGCACCTAACGCCGATCCCTGGACTTGTACCTCACAGAACTGGAGGGTGTCGAAATTATCAAGTGCCATTTTAGATATCCGAATGTAACGACCGACCACATAGTCTGGACAAATGATAGCTATAGTTCCGGCAGCTGGAACGCCACCTGAGACCAGTCCGCACACCTCGGGTGTTTCCGTGAATGGGAAACGGTCAAATACCTCGATAGTTATATTTCTGATACGCTCCTCTGAAAACAGAAATGTAACGGATCTGAATTTCAAACTTTGAATTGATTTTAACACCATTGTATTTTTGTTCGTTTGTTTGTTTGTTTGTGTGTCGTTTAACGCCGCACTCAACAATAAACCCAGCTATAAAACGGCAGTCTGTGTTAGTAATCGAGTCTGGACCAGACAATCCAGAGATTGATTTCATGAGCAACGATCCACGCAATTGAGATCGATGACATTCAACAACCATGTCAGCGAGCATGACCACCCAATCCCGTCAGTCGCCTCTTACGACAAGCATAGTCGCATTTTACAGCAAGCATGGGTTGCTATTCATTGCAATTTGGAATCGGGCTGATTCTTTGACTGGTTTTTGTCACGCAGTCAACCCTTAGTTTCCCTTTCAGCACCACAGTTATAAGAAATCATTAGACATCTCAGTGAAAAGTAGATTCCATTGTACGATTCTGCCCATATCATTAACAAATAGAAAATCTCCCATGATCTATCCATTTTGACCATCTCATTCCCGTGAAGATCCGGGGTAGAATAGGTCTTCAGCAACCCATGCTTGCCATAAAAGGCGACTATGCGTGTCGTAAGAGGCGACCAACGGGAACGGATGGTCAGGTTCGCTGAACTGGTTGATGCTTGCCATCGAATCCCAAATGCGCGGATCGATGGTCTTGTCAATCACTGGATTGTCTGGTCCAAACTTGATATATTTACAGACCGCCGACATTTAGCTGGAATATTACTGAGTGTGGCGTTAGAAAGCAAACAAACAAAGATTCCCATTTTATATTTTTACGAAATGTGAGATATATCATAAACATTTCAAAAATAATATAATACATACCACAGCAATCTCCTCTGTTAAAAAGGGTGATAGAGTCGATGACGTAGAACGCTTCAAGGTCCACATACCAGAAGGGTTCGATGTCGTTAACGTCGCTGCTAAAACAGCTCCCATTTAAGAAATTGGGGTCTATGTTTCCATCAACAGCTCGAGATGGGCCATAAGTAACACCTGAAAATGGAAACGCGCTCGACGAACCTGTTGGTCTGTTCAGTGCTATGTTCGGAGGCGGGGGGGCTACAAAAAAGACATGTACGTTTCAATACATAGCAGTGCAAATATACAGTAAGAAACAATACCTTTCTTCACATGGAAGTAAACACATCTGTGTAAAGTCACCAAATCTATAAGGCACAAGATGTACATTTCCGTCAATAATACACTACTGTGAGACTGCGGGGAAAAAATATCATCGAGGGTTTGGGCACAAACATAAAAATTAATTGTGTCCTTAAGAGTTGTCACCGGGTCGGGAAACCAGTCTAGTCTCGATGTTGTGACCTCACCGCTTCCCTCTCTCTTTATTGTACGGGTTACGTCACTATTTGGCAACGTCCGGAGGTCGTCATAATCCGGTTTCTTTACATTCGTTGTTAGAGAAATGCAATTACCCGCATTTTTTATTCTCTGGGGAGTGAATCGCATACTTTTATCTTGTATTGATTTGCTATGTGTTGTCTCGTATATGTATGCAAACTTAATGTTTTGAAAATGTTTTTGTAACTTTGATTTTCGCGCAGTAGCCGGATTGTCTGTACTGGTGGATATTTCTCAATTATTTATGGTCATTTTTGCCACCTCAATAATGGTATATGTGTGGTTGTACATCGTTTGTGGTACCGTTTGACAGCATATGAAAAGGGCTTTAGTTCCGTATTGGTGTAGTAGCTTGTTTGCTATTCGGGTTTTCCGGATATCAGGAAACACACTTTGGTAACCTCACCAGGCTATCGCAGTCCCACTGCTGAAAAGGATTCTTGTTCTCTACTACGTCCGCGGACACGTATATAACCCTTGGCGAAATCATGTGTCTTTACCCCCATGTACCGTCAGAGAAAGGGTCGTCGAAACTTAGATTTCGTTAGTAAGTGGTTTTGGGTACTGACTTACTCTGGTGGTATTGAGATAAAACGTATTGGCCAGGCTTTTATATTTCGTACCCCGTTTTTCTAGTAATCCGTCGCCTTTTACGGCAAACATGGATCGATGAACACCTTTCTACCCCGGATCTTCACGGGTCATAACTCACTTAAAAAACGGGCATGCACTAACATACATCTTGGACATACCTGTTGCCAATCCCAGGGAGGCTACGGCGATGTACAGACACAGCAACGGCATGATGATGGTAAGGCTGGTCGGCATCTGCAATACTCTTTATATAGCCTTCATTTAATTATTTTATTTGGAATTGGCAGTGTAAATATAATTCAAGCTCAGCATGCATCAAATTAGACGGAAAGTCACACGTGTCAATTACCTGCTCATCGCCCTCGAAATCGGATTGGAATTGGCAATTTCTCATTGTCAGCATGCAGTTGACAAATGTACAACCAACATTAAATGAGTTTTCAAAACCATTGAAGCAATGGACGATATAGGATAGAGGCCCGTTTTCACCCACGGGAAATGCCAAATCGTATAGTTGTTGACACATTTGAAATACTTGTACCAAATCAAGCAGACGTGTTCAAATGACAGGCAACCTTTCGTTCGTAGACTTGCACGTTTTGGTCTTCTGACATGATGAAGTATATAACTGGTGGTAAAATGATTGAAGAACACCGATTTTTCCCAACTTCAAGAAATAAATCTAATCACCAGGACGTCTATGTTGTAACTATCTGGTGTTTCGGAGAAACTTACAGATAATGATTTTCTTGATCATGTAAAATCTTTTGATATAATTGGTTTAACTGAAACCTGGATAGATAACTTAGAACAATGCAATGTATTTAGAGATTTTGATGTATTTACTAAGACAGCTGATAAACTTGCTGAGTTTGGCAGGCTCTCTGGTGGTATTGCAATTTTGGTAAGAAGAGATTTGGGTAAATATATCATTTGGACAAAAGTATTAGACAATACAATTTATATATTGTTTGGTGAAGACATATTTGATTTAGACTCTGACATACTCTACGCGTGCGTGTATGTACACCCAGAGGACTTATCCTGGTATGCCAAGGTCTGTACACAATGTAAAAATGGTATTGATTTGTTACGTGAAACACTGTGTGATATTTTATCTAAACATCATTGTAAATATTTGTTACTAGGTGGTGATTTTAATTCTAGAACTGGTATAAAACCTGACTATGTAGCAAACGACATACTTGAACACACTGAGGGAGATACGTCATGGGATTTTATGTTTGACTCTTTCAACAAAGAGCGATTTTCTTTAGATAAGTGTATAAATACCTTCGGTAAAAGTCTACTAGATCTTTGCTCAGTTATAGATATTCATTCTTTAAATGGAAGATGTGGAAAAGACACAAATATTGGAGACTTTACAAACATTGGAGCAGTGTAATTGATTATGTAATTGCTTCGCCTCGCTTATTTAATTATATAGTTGATTTTGAAATTCAGTGTAGAACCGAATCTGACCACCTACCCCTTTGCATTACGCTAAGGAGGTGTAATAGAACCCGAACTTCACCTAATAGTAGCGCAAGCGCAAAAAATAGCTATACGTTTGTTTGGGATGATTATATGTTAAACACATTCAGAGAGAATTCACTTACAGACGATATCCAAAAGCTTCTAGATAAATGTATTTTTGATATAAACAAAAGTGTTAATGCTATTGCAGATGCTCTATGTGTAGCCGCTAGTGATATGAAACGAAAAGTAGGTCGAGTTAGAGAAAGGGTGAAAGAAATCCATGGTTTGATAACGAGTGTGAAATGCTTAATAAAGAAAAATGTAAATATTTAAATAGATTTAGAAATTGCAAAAATGAAAGTAACCTAAAAGAATATCATGCCGCTAGAAACAAATATACTGCCATCTGTAAATATAAACAAAATAAATATTTAATGGAGAGGAAACAAAGGTGAGAGAAAAATATAAATAATTCAAAACTGTTTTGGTCAGAATTAAAAAGCATGAATAAAAACAAAAAGCGTCATTTTTAGAATGTAATGATAATGTAAATGAGGATGATAACACGGACGACAACTTAAGTGTAATAAATCATCTGGCATTGATAATTTAATGCCTGAATTTTTCCAACATTCAGCAGACCATATCTTGAACTAATATTTAATGTCATTTTAGAAAACGGAACCTTTCCGAATTCATGGTCGGTGGAAATAATTGTACCTCTCCAGAAGACCGGGGATATACATAACACTGATAATTATAGGGGTATAACTTTTGAGAATTTTTAGCAAGATATTTACTTTTATTATTAAGAAAAGATTAGTGTATTGGGCTAGTACAATGAACAAAATTGATGAGTCAAAAGCTGGATTCAGAGAAGGATATAGTACCGTGGACAACATATTTATATTACATTGTTTAATTCAAAGATACCTTAATAATAAGGGTGGAAAGTTTTATGTAGTTTTTGTAGATTTTTCTAAAGCATTTGACTCTGTGCAAAGAAATAAACTTTGGAATCTTTTTAAGACTCATGGATCAAGTTCTAAAATGAATAAATTGTTATGTAGCATACATGAAAATATTAAAATCTGTGTTAGAAATAACCAAATTATCTCTCCTACATTTTCAAGTCATTTAGAAGTACGACTGGGTTGTATCTTAAGCCCGTTTCAGTTTTCGTTTTTCATCAATGAATTTGCAATGCGAATAATAATTGTTCCTATGGAATTCAATTGTTTTCGCTTTTGTTTGCAGACGATATTGCACTATTTTCAAGTACTATTAAGGTCTACAGTCACAAATTAATGAGTTAGAAAAGTATTGTGATGAATGGAAATTGAATGTAAATAGAAATAAAACAAAGATTGTTGTATTTAAAACGGCGGTAATTTATCAAAATATGAAAAATGGTACTATAAAGGTAACCAATTGGAGATAACAAGTTTTTATAAATATTTAGGAGTGTATTTTACTAACCGTCTTTCATGGACATATCATGTAAGCCAAGCATCCTTACAAGCTCAAAAGGTATTCATTGCTTTACAACGAAATGCATGTGGTCTAAACTTTGATTATAATACACTTTTCAAAATTTTATTGTATGGTGCAGAGATTTGGTGACTGTCAAAAGTAGATGCTATAGAAAAGATTCACTTGTATGCATGTAAGAAATATTTTGGTGTAAAAGTTAATACACCCGGGGTTATGGTTTATGGTGATTGTGGTCGCTATCCACTGTATATTTTTGCATATATTAAAGTTATCAAATATTGGTTAAGAATTTTAAATGTGCCTTTGTATAGATTTCCAAAAAAGTGTTATAATATGTTATTGTTGTTTGATTCAAATGGTAAAAACAACTGGGCAACTGGTGTTAGAGAACTCTTATTTGAATCTGATTTTGGTAATGTTTGGTATGATCAACGGGTCAATAATACTGCTGAGTTTATCCAGTCACCGAAACAAAGACTAAAAGATATTTATTTACAATCATGGAATGTTTCATAAGCATTGTCAAATAAACACTTTTATTATAAACTTTTTAAATCTTACATTTATAGAGAATGCTATCTCGTTGATATTGCCATACCAAAATATAGAAAAGCATTGGCACGGTTTCGTTGCATGTCGCATGATCTACATATTGAAACAGACAGATATATAAATAACCCAAGAGAACAAAGAAAATGTAACATGTGTAACTTAAATGAAATAGAAGACGAGTATCACTTCCTTATCAGATGTCCATTATATTTAGAACTAAGAATAAAATACTTACCAAAATACTATTACAGTGAACCAAACATATGTAAATTTATAAGTTTATTGATATCTGAGAGAACAGAGGTTGTAAAGAATTTATCGATGTTTATTTACCATGCTTTTGGCCATAGAAATGAAATTGTTAACTGTTAATTAAATACTATCTATGCCAGAATATAATGAGCATATTTATGGTTGTCATGATGTAAAATGTGGGAGATAATTTATTTCAATTTGATGTGCTATTGTAATGATTAATTATGTTGAATTGTATTATGTACTTAAGGCCTGTGGCCTCTTGAGTACGAAATTAATAAAGATTAAAGACATTAAATAGTCGATCCTTCACTAAACAATGAAAAGTTTCGTTTCCCTCGAGCTGTTCACTTGTCGCACGTGTGTTCTCTTTATGCTCTCCAGTATGTAACTGTGTCCTAACAGAGATAGAAAGCGATGTTTATTGAAATCTACTCTCGAAACCGTAATGTACGGAATACTGTCAGTGACATTCTCGCAATCTCGAGATTTGGAGGCGAGCAAAATATGCCCAAAACACAAGAACGCGAGATTTGGCCAAAATCTCGCCTTCGCGCATTTTCGTGCCTTTGGTACATATCACTTTTTGTCAAATGTTGACAACACAAGAATGCGACATTTGGACATAATGCAAATTCTCGCCATGTCAAATTAGGCCACAAAGACACGCAATCGCGAGGACGCGAAAATGCGACTTTTTTTCGCGATCTCGCCTTCTCGCGCTTTAGACGCTGTCCGTGCGCATGCGTTATATCATAAGGTCATGGCGCATGCGCACGTTAGTAGTCCTGTGGTCATGCTTCTTTTATGCTCTTCACTCTCCAAATATCATTTGACCCGTGATAGAATAGGTCTTCAGCAACCCATGCTTGCCGTAAAAGGCGACTATGCTTGTCGTAAGAGGCGACTTACGGGATCGGGTGGTCAGACTCTCTGACTTGGTTGATGCATGTCATCGATCCCAATTGCGTGGATCGATGTTCATGATATCAATCACTGGATTGTCTGCTCCAGACTCGATTATGTACAGACCGCCATCATGTAGCTGGAATATTGCTGAGTGCGGCGTAAAACCACAAGCGCTTTTTCTGATAATTACCTATACAGTCACCTTGAGGCTCAGTCGCCTGAGGCATCGCAATTTGCTGTGGAGAGTTACGTCCCTTGTGCGTGCAAGAAACCGTCCCCTTTCAAGTTGACAAGCCGGGATATAACTGAAATATATATACTGTTAAGCCAAACTAACTCACTTATTCAAGGTTATGCCGGTCGCTCAGGCTGGATAGTGGGGAACATTCCCAGTATACACATGCCTAGCATGTGGATTAATAGTTAGAGTTTGGACCGAGTTGTCGGGCTTGGACTTCGTAAGAGGCGACTTACGGGATCTTGTGGTCAGGCTCGCGGACTTGGTTGATGCATGTCATCGTATCCCAATTGCGTGG